TGTAGAACACATTCTGATAGCTAATCTACACATTTTTACATGCTCAAACACTTTCTGACTTCAATTAATAACATCGATGATTCATAAGCTGTGGTTATGACGGAAATTGTTGGGTTTCGTAAGTTAATTAAAAGTAAACCATATATACTCTAAGCCTAACATTGACAAGAATACATTTATAACATACGAGGGGTGATCAATAAGTAATGATAATCAATATGAAACAGAACTATTAGATTAAAAAAAGTATTTTATTTTTCAACATAGTCTCCTTGCAAGTTAATACATTTAGTGTATCTTTTTTCTAAGCCCATAATTCCCTTAGAAAAAAATTCTTTGTCTTGACCCTCCCAAAATGCCTCTACTGCGGCCATCACTTCACTATTGTCCTCAAATTTGTTGCCCCGGAGGTGTTCTTTGAGCCGAGGAAAGAGGTAGAAGTCACTGGGAGCTAGATCTGGCGAATAGGGAGGGTGTTCGAGCAGTTCGAACCCCGTTTCTTCAATGGCAGCCATCGCAACTGCGGCTTTGTGAGCCGGGGCGTTGTCTTGGTGAAACAGCACTCCAGCGCGCAGTTTACCGCGTCTTTTTGACTTAATAGCTTCTCGCAATCTTCTTATTTGGCCTGCGTCGTAAGAGCCTGTTATAGTGGCCCCCTTTTCCAAATATTCCACCATAATAATTCCTTCTGCATCCCAGAAAACAGACACCATAACCTTTCCCGCTGAACTTGACACTTTGAATTTCTTCGGCGTTGGTGAGGAAGCTCGTTTTCAAGTCATTGATTGTTGTTTGGTTTCGGGATCAAAGTGGTGGATCCAGGTCTCGTCCATAGTCACAAAACGCGACAAAAAAAATTCTTTATCGGCCTGGAACTTTTGAAGATTCACCCTCGAAATGTCGACTCGTTTCTTTTTTTGCTCGTCGGTTAACATTCTCGGTACCCAACGCGCAGAGACCTTTTTCATATACATTTTGTTGACAATGATTTTTTGAACGCTGCCATAGGAGATCCCTGTGACCTCAGCTACATGCCTTACGGTCACCCTTCGATCGGCCAACACGATATCTTCCACTTTTTTGACGTTTTCTCCAGTAAGGGACGTAGAAGGGCGTCCCTCGCGATTTTCATCTTCAGTGGAGGTTCTGCCCAGCTTAAAGTCCTTTACCCAGCGTGCGACTGTGGAATATGGAGGAGCAGACTCCCCCAATGTTTCCTCTAAGTCGCTGTGTATGTCTTTGGTAGACATTTTTTTCAGGCAGAGGTACTTGATGACAGCTCTTATTTCATTTTTCTCCATTTTGATGTTTTCTCTTCGACAGTTCGTATTCAAATGAATGTATCTCCCGGTAATGGTGTCCTATTTATACATTTTTTTGAAGCTGAAGTAGTGGATATATAAGCAAGCAGAAAAAAAATAATTTGGGTTTTTGTGCGTTCTAGAAATACTCGATTATCATTACTTATTGATCACCCCTCGTAGATCATTTAGTTGAGGTGACGTAACTTTGTATCAATATCGGGCTTGACCTTCTACGTTAGTATGAATACTTTTTTTACGTTTTATACCAATTAACGTAAATTTTTCGTGGTTTGTAAGGTGGGCGGGTGTCATATTGACTTTGTTGAGAATTATAGCAAGTGTGATCAATACAAATACACAATGCCAGATCTTAAAATATAAACCTTATTGCATGAGTTGTTCATAGTCGTTGGTCACATGATGATATATGGTCTGCCATACCAATGAATTTGACGACGCAAAACTATTTAGCTGTTAGAACGACGACCGATAAAAATTATGTTTTGAAAGCTAAAAATAACGTGCGAATAGAAGAAAAAATGTATTAGTTCGATAACACGCTAAACGTAGATTGAAATATTAGCAAAAGTTTATTTTTAAATGATGTAGTCAATTTTAGTTGGGTATATCATGAAATATTGACTCCTGAGTTGCAGTCATTCATGGGCGGCGGTAGTCGCTTTACACCAGATGACCCGCCTGTTAGTTTGCCCTATAAAAAAAAACGTTTCCATGATATATACTTAAAACTGGTTTGTGCTTATGTTTCTACTTTTAAAATTTGAATAAAATTATAGACCATATTTCATAAAATAGATGAAATCGAATATCAAACGCTTCGGTCTGCTGGACTGGATAATACAACTCTACATAAGTTATTTATAAGGTATTCAAAGGAAAATCATTTGAACTTATTTGCATTTCTGAACATTTTTAACGTCTAAGAATGTCCAAGAAAATATGCACTTATTGGCCACTAGCAAGTGCCCGCGACTTCGTTTGGAATTTAAAAAGCGCTGCTTAATCGGACCGGCCTAAATTTTATAGGTTTTTTAGAGAAAAATAGGTCAGTTACTCCTTATATAGATAGCTACGTGGCAGTAAAATATTATCCACATCGGTCAAGCCGTTTTAAAGATTACCCGGAACAAACAGACCGACAGACAGATGATTGAGAAAAATGTTTAAACTGGTTTTTAGGCATAGGTATCGTGTAAATAACCGTGTGATGTGAGCATAAAAAAACCTATTATTTTGACATTACAAACAGACACTTAAATTTTATTTATTTGTATAGATAAGTAGCATATTTGAAGGAAAATACGTTGATATTAAAATGCTGATTACATTTAAATTATCGTTAAGACTTACAGTTATTATTAACACGCTTTTGTTATAAGCTTTACATGTAACTAAAGCCAATTACAAATTTATATTAAGCCCAAAATCGATTTAAGTGGCGTGCAATGGGAGAGGCCTATGTCCAGCAGTGGAATGCGATAAGCTGATGATGATGTAACTAACTTTGTAAGCAAATATTAGAAGTCATCTTCTGACTGTCGTATCAAAATGAATTTTTGTTCGTGCATCTATATTCATATGTGTTCTTGTGTTTAATTAAAACAATGAAGTCAGAAAATAGAAGTAGGTTTCTCTGTCTAATAAGAGTTGGTATTTAAACAGAATAGTATGTAAACTGTACTAGGTTCTGTTACGTAGCATAATGTTACTAGGATTTATAAATAAAAATTTATTTTACAGAACAATACGACTCTTTAAAAAAAATTATTTAGCATTGTATAAATTTCAAATGTTATACAATGCTTTAACTTCAATTCATTTTTTATTACATAATATTACTTTTAGGATTACGTAATGTAATACTTTTTTTAAGAATTAAAGATAACTTTTACTATAAACTCTACTTAGATTCGCTTTTATATTACGTAAATGTGACGAATCAGCTGTTAATGCACGAAAATTTATATCAAAACAAAAACGTTAAACACTTTTAAGAGCGTTCCTTATACTCCTAGAGTTCTTATTTGGATGGTTCCTAAATAATAAAAATATCCACCCAAAATAATCTTTAACGTATTCGAGATTTTAGTGTTTTGTTAATGATTTACAAACAAATTTATCTTTAAAATACTAGTCTTGTTGACTTTGAACTAAGTTGTATAAGGTATGCGTTATTAACAGGGCTGTAGGAATACTCTAATTCGCCAGTGTTTCTCTGTCAGTCCCTACTGGGGCCCATAACTTCTCAGGACAGCCAATAACCAACAATACCACATGACGACCCATTCTGGTTGTATTTTGTCAAACAATAATAGTCATATAATCTTTACCTACATTTAAAAATGCGAATAATGTAACAAATTATACTGATGTAATGACAATCAAATTAAGATGTATAGAATGTCGTCGCTGCTTAATTACAGTGTCATGTTTTTCAGTTCATAGTCCACCCATGGCTGGCAAAGATTAAAATTATTCTATACAAATAAATTTACTGACTAATTCATTCATCAGCTACAAACTTAAAATTTTGGCAGCAAATGATTTTTATGTTGTAAGCACTCATTATTTTTTTTTTATTTCACCTCTAAGAGGGTAAAATAAGATATGAACGGGTAAAATAATCGATATTAAACAAAAAAACCATTATTTCGAAGTTCGAGTTCATTCGTAGACTTTTAGTTAGATAGCTATGTTCCATACAAATACGTGAATACACACAATACATGTGAAATACAAATACGAGAAACTTACAAAAATAAAATTATACTGGCAAGCTCCCTGGGGCAGCGAAACGCCAATAAATGTACTAAGATAAACCAGAAATCTATAATCTAACAAAGCATTTATGCAAGAACCTATTTCAATATCTCGAATATAAATAAATATCTCAAACTCGTAGAAATAAGTTAAGTGAGTATTGTAGTTAATTTTATAAAGCCACTTGTATGCCTCATGTTAATCGGTGTTGATTAGATTATTGGTATCAACCAACTCTGGACATCTTTCCACGTAGACTAGCTACTATAAAATAAATAAGTGGATACACCACGCGACTATTATACAAGTATTTAATTAAGAAATACAGTCTTTTTGCCACTGTAATAAAAATAAATATTATTATGACGAGTCTATCTCAAAGTAGTAGCATTGTTGTATCTTAATAATTTCACACCACGCCAATGCCGAGCTTGTCACGCCAGGTAAGTCACGACGGACTATCGTATTTTCTGGTTTTACCTAAAACAAGCTAAGAAGGTAAATTAGTCAAACATTTTGATGAAATATGTAAATTCTGTATAGGATCGCTTTGAGTGTTAACGCCGTACATTACATAATATAATTATCTATACATATATAATCACTTATCCTGATTAACTGATTCATCAACGCAGAGCCTAAACCGATGGGGTTGCAAACTTGACTTTTTAGCAGATAATGCTTTTATGTTGTAAGCACTGACTAAAAATATTTTTTTGAAATTTCGTTTGTATGGAGTTTCATCATTTTCAAAGTTAGAAATAAGAAATAGCCCAAATAAGAAGATCCTGGCATTAGCTAGTAGCTAATATGCATTTAGAGATGTAAATATAGATATATATTGTTGCCATGAACTCACTCTTACTTCGTCTACTGTATCCTGCAACATTTGAACACTCATCACTTTCTCAGAAGGCAGCAGATGGAAGGACTGGCTCCTCGCATCCTTACTTCTGGGTGCAGTCGTCGGTGGATGGGCAGCTTTGCGCGCCGGTCGTGCCAGCCGCTCCCAAGTCCAGAGGATGTTGCGGGACATGGAACAGTTGCGGAAGGCAGAGATAACTCTCAACGAATTGCAGGTGGAGTTAGAAAAGGCACGTTTAGAACAGGTTGGTGAAAACACTAGTCCTTCACTCTTAAACTGATCACGGATTTTCAAAAGACACGGTAATAATCGTGCTTATATATAATAATAAATGCTTTTGAAACCATGTCAACATCTGAAAAGCTGTTGACTGAACATGGTCTGTTATAATTTTTACACATCTTTTTGTAGTTATTTTCTTTTTCTTTCTATTTAAAGGTTCAAACCGAACCTTCAAAAGCGCGGCAGCGAGAAATTTTTAGAAGTATTACTCCGTATCCAAATATATTATCTATCATCCAATCAATATCGCAAATATGCAAAAGCATTTATTTTCCAGGAAAGCGTAACGACGGAGAAAAAGAATTTAGAAAAGAAGTTAAGAGAAGCAGGTGACACACCATTGTTGAATTCAGCCTCTTCAGATTTGGAGGTGACACAGCTGAAAGCAGAAATCGAGGTAATTAATATCATATTGTGTTTTACGAATAATATTAATAACTTGACACATCTCACACAAGGCCGTTTAAAATAAATGAGACCCAGACACTACAAATCGTGCTCATCAGACAATCATTAGTCCTGATTAGGAATCAAACCCACTGTGGCCCAGCTGTCACTATTACTAACCACTAGACCAACAGGTCAGACAAATAAATATAGTATTAAACTTAGCGAATGATTGAATTCCTACCGTTTTAAAACCTTCATTGACTAATGTAATTATGCTAAAACCAAAAAAGAAGGATATCAGCATCACCCTATCACAGTCCAATGCTGGACAAAGGCCTCTCTAATTGCAGCTCATAAAAGAATATAGCAGGCACAAAAACGTACCTACTGTACCATTGGTATTGTCTATGTAGACATAGATATGTAAACATATACTACTCCACATGTGTAACAAACCAATCCTAAATTATACGTTTACAATTAGGCAATAATGTTTTTGTCATAAAGTGTATATGTTAAAGTCATAGAGTGTACGTGGTACGCATACAGATCGCAATGAGCCAACGATATCCAGGTACTCGTTCTGTTACTGTAACCTTTGCACATTATTATTGTTACGTGTTAGGGTTCGTTGATTTGGAATGAAATGCCTTCTGACGAGTTACGAGACTTTATTACTATTAAGCTTTAATAAAACCAATCGATATTTAATAACAGTTCGGAATGATCGCTGAGGTCTCTGGGTTAGTCTTAGATCCCGGTATAGGTCGAACTGAACTGTCACATTAGCGGAGAGGTGCCTGTATTTATGCTACTTGTTACACCGCTAGAAAGTTAATTCTAATAAACTTTTATTTTAACAGAAATGTTCTCAATGTAAACAAGATCGCGATTGATTGTTTGATGTATTTCACAAAGATTTATTCTTCATCCTAGAGGTTTCCATGCTTAGAGACAGAACATGTATGTCAAATTTAAATGGGACAAACCTTTAATAAAAAAACAAAACACTTAAAAATTAATTTTGAAGACATAACTGGCAAAGACAAAAAAAAACTAAATATAATAAATTGAAGTTGAACCTCCTGCTTTTTGAATTTGGTTAAAAATATGCAAAAAATTACTAAGAATCCTAAAGTGATTTCCGCGTAAATAAATACATATTTCCGCATAGTATGTACTTCTGAACAGCAATTTGCAGCAATTTACTGGGTTGTTTATGTTTTTATAACCATCATGATGACAATCTTATGACTTTAGAAATTGATCAACGCTAAATTATTCAAAATTGCTTAACGAATATTGCATTATTTATGACGAAAACTTACGATACAATGTTTTCGTGTATTAAAAAACATATTAACTCTTATTCATACTTAGTCGTCAATTTAGATGTGTTGGCATTTACTCCTGTAGAAGTTACTAAAGAAATTTGTGCTTTTTAACAGATGCTACGAGCTGAACTACGTCGTGCTGAAGGTGAACTAGAAGACAGGTGCTGGGCACCTCCCCCAGGGCTACAACAATGGCTTCAGTTAACCCATGAAGTGGAGAACAGATCGTATTTACGCAAGAAGCAGCAAGCAGATTTGCAGTTGCAGCAGGCGAGGGAAGCAGTAAGTATTATTGTTCATTGAGTTGAGTGCAGGCTATAAGCACTGTAATGCCTCTTTCTTAAGACTGGTAAGGTCTACATATATATAGCCCAATGGAGCCGTTGTACAAAGGTAATGATAAAATATACTTTTCATCGAGAAATCTACTAAAATAAATTGTTTCTTGTTTTGAAACCCTTTTTTTCTAGAATATAGAATTTCCTTACTAAATCAAAGGCCTGTCTTCTTTATTGTTCCTTTTATTTTTAAAAGTCCTTTGTAGAATAAATAGATCATATAAAAAAAAACATTATTAAAAGTACGGTTTTAAACTGGCAGGTTATATTTGTGCGCCAAAACTGCTTCACAGTTCCAATGAGATTACATCACATCACTGGTCCTATAACGAACGTTATTCAAAAATACAATAGTATGCAAATGCAAAAATACAATAATATGCAAAATAAAAACTTCAACTTCAACCAGCAGCAAGTTTCAGGTCACCATGTCGTGGGAATACCATCAAAGTAACAGTATACTAAATTTCAGATCAATCGGACCTGTAGTGAGATCCCTTCATCACCTAGGAAGTGAGCTGATGATTTTCAAAATTTATAGATAAGAACCATTTCGATCTCATCGGCATTCGAACAAAAAAATCCGCATCGAAATTGGTCCATCCGTTCGGGAGCTATGATGCCACAGACAGACAGACAGGTTAAACCGTCGGAGATAAAAAAAGCTCATTATAGTGTTATATTAGTTAAACATTTTTTCTGTATTTTAACTAAATTTTGTAAAGCTGATTACGTATTAAAAAATTAATAAATACGGTTACTTGCCCTCTATATGGTTGTTGTTGACTTATAAAATAAAAATATCATCTATTCCCACAATAACATAGTTGTTCTGTTGTTGTTCTAGTGCGAGAAACTACGCAAGAAGCGGTCGAGTTTAGTCGGCGCTTTCGTGTCTACTCACGGCAAGTCGATCGATGATGTCGACCGGTCCATTGTGGAGGCGCGTACAGCCCTCAGCGAGGTTACTCATGAGTTACAGGTAACTTTACTATTTTTTTTAAGACAACTGCCTCACTAGAAATATATCCTGTGTCGCGGGGAACTTTACAAACATACATGAAACGGACACAAAGAACACCCAGACTCAGAACAACAATTTGTGAGACACACACCACACGTGTCCTATGTGGAGATCGAACCCACATCACTCAGCCCAGTACGCCATCCGTTGCAGTCATTTTCTCGTTTTCATTCATGGTTGTGGAGTTACGGGTACAAACAATAAGAGGATTCTCTAACCGGACGAGGATGATCATGCCTGGAGTTTTCGCAGTGCTGTTGTCCTGCGTTACTCCCTTAGTCGGCTCTTACGACACCCACTAGATGAATAGGGGTGGTGACACTCCGTATTGTTAATGACAACACTGACAAGCCTGAGGGGTACCTGAATCGATTCAGAAAATCTATATTAAAGCGAGTGGTGGCGCTAGAAAAATCTTAGCTCATAAACCAAAATGTAATGTCTGTACAATTTTCATTTATCTAACAGGAACGTATGACCAGGTGGAAGCAAATTGAGCGTCTGTGTGGTTTCAACATTATCAACAACAACGGCTTACAGTTCCTGGAGACCACGCTCTACAGGAATGCTAACGGACGACCTACCGGACGAGGTATCCTTATTTGCTGCCTTTCTTCATTTTCACGTCTTTATAATAAAATGATGCATACATTTTACCAGAGATACAAAAAATATATACAAAGAAACTCAAAAAAATAATGTTATTTTTCACAATGGATGGAGTAAATAACTGTTAATTCATTGGAGTCGTGAGCAAACATCAATTAACACATCAAACGATACAGATTGTGCCCTCAGCTTAACATTCCGAGTTCTATAGTCACACTTTCTCAATTCCCAGGTCGCATGAGCAGTTCACAGGATGACCTGAGCATCGGCGATGACACATCTTTGTGTGGTTCAGGTAAGAACTACGACGAACTACCCGTCTCCCATGATCATGTCGACTAGGACACATAGGATCAAAAATGAAGTATGTGCGTTTATAGTGAACACACTCAACTCCAGAAGTTTCTACAGACATCTAATGGGACCAAATGTTTACAGGTTGTAAAATAAAACATAATTTTTTTATTGTTCATTTAATGATAAGTACAGTTCAATGTGATTCATATAAAATGGAGCAAATTATTATTGAATATTTCTATTGAAAGCAATATACCCTAGGCAGTGCATACTTTTATAAAACATTCATAATTGGTTTACATTTAAACACAGATGAAAGCTAACAATATATCTACTTTCCTTAAGTGTGCCTCCTTTTCCTTTTTAAAAAAAAAAATGATTTCACTGACACTATTTTTTGTATAGCTGTATAGCGACGAAGATATTTAATGGCATTTATTTCCTATTTTTGAAGTCGGTTAATAATGTCAGTCAGTTGGAAAAAGTCGGTATTCATAATTTTTTAGCTTATTCTGCTTATTTCTAACATTGGGACAAAAACAAATACCAGAAGGGTTTTTGTTTTTGACGGGTTTCAGACCTTTTCGTATAAAATGAATTAACTTTAACCCATTACAACACTGAAACTACCCTCACGCATTAGAAAGCATGTTCATCAACAAGACATCAGTTATCAAATACAACCCCTTTCCGAATAGCTTTCTATTGCTTAGTATCTTTTATTTGCTCTTTGTATAGTTTTAAAAAATATGAAAAGTTCCACCCCACCGATTTCAGACCTAATTTATTTTGTTGCTACTTTGTCTATTTACACAACTTAGCAAACAGATTAACACTTTTCATTTTAGTCGATTACCTTACTACATGTGCAGCACTATAAACGCCCCTACTTCGTTATGGCAATGTCTGTGAAATAGATTTACAAGTAATATTCTTTTGACGTTTTTAGTTGCTTTTTGTTGGGTAAAAAATGTGAAAACTGGCTGTGGAGCCCATATTATATAAAAGATAAATAACATTTAAATATACATTTTGGAATGTCAATAAATAATAAATGGCTACACACTATAGCAGCATGTGTTTTGCATAAATAGAAAATACACAAATGGGAAAACAAAAAAGTCATAGAAAACCAAATTTTTTTGCAATAGAATAACATAGAAATTATTTTTAGAAATTTATCGAATTCAGGTGTTAAAAAAAACTCCTAAAGGTCTTAAATTAGATAGTTTATTGTATTCCTAAAATGGTAAAAACTTAATTTGTTTTTTTTTTTCTAAATATGTGATAATATTAACTTTAGTATTAAAAATAACAAAGCTTGCTTAAATAAAATATTAACTAATTAAGTTATCTATGTTAACGAAGTACCTAAAATAAAAAGAAAGTGCTCAAAGTTTATATCACATAAACAAAGATTGGTTTCTGTACTTAAAGGATTATTGTATCAACATGGTTGGTTATTTTAGTCGATTATTAAATTACATAATGATAATAATTAACTAATATTACCTAGATGTTTAATTAAAAACGTAACTTACTCTCGTGAGACCCATCTGAATGTTTATCTTACTCAGACTATAAATAGTCGTTGGTTAGTTTAAAATCATTTATATCTATACACATCGATTTTTTGTTCGATCATCAATAAGATTCGCATTTTAGTCGAGTTCCTGATATAGATCTTAACTTTATTTAAATAGTGACATTAATGCTAAGTCTTCATTATATTGTTATTTATTATTTCTAGTTATAAGTATCAGTTGTATGTATTTGTTTTATTTAATAAATCATATTTTTTGAAAATATGTCTCGTCACAATCCGTAGGAAGCTTTCAGGCATTACAATTAAGGTATTTTTTTATATGAAACATTTATTTAAGGAAAGCATGTATGAAATAATACAAATTTTATCTTTGTACATAATATCTCTTATCGGTGTGGGTTTTCCTTAATTTTCCTTTCCCTTTGCATGATGATTTCAACTAATAATCTAATAATATATTACCATTTCGACGGAAATAAAACTGCACCAGAACTAAAATAAAATGAAAACTTCCAAAATACTTAAACGCTTAATATGTTAAAATATGCCAAATAATCTGCTTGTTATATACTGTGTATTCTAGTATTTGTAAAGTAGTAGATACTGCTTTCATTTGGTTTTGACTTGTTTAGTAGATTATTTAGACGATTTTGAACTCTTTTGCACGTTTGAAAGCTTTTGAACGATTGTGAATTTGTTTTATTTTGCCGCCACTTCCTACCCCGCCTTCCGTCAGTGTTTCCAAATTTTCCAGTATAATAGTTTATATTAGTTGTGCTTGATCAGTGTTTAATAGCAACATTTTTACTCTACACCTTTGCAGGTAAGTCATTGTGTTGTATAAATAAATAGATAACCGTAGTAGTGCTTATTGTATTAGTTTTAACCATTGTATTATTTCATACATGCTTGTAAAGTTACAAAACACGCTTTTCAATCCATAATATAATCAATTTTTAAGAAAACTTTGCTTGCTCTGAACTATTTTCTATTGTATTTTTTTTAATGAAAATAGCTGCGGACAACTTTTTGTGGCGCGAAGACTCGTCAGGCAGTGAAGCTGACGCCCCACATTATCCTTTAGACCTGAGACTCGCTGAGGCTAGGTGAGTACGTTATTGTTCAAATTCTTTGAAAAATTCGTTGTCATTTTTTATGAAGAGTCATTTATGCATGACATTGATATCACATATCTTTTTATATTTTGCCCATTTGCGACTAAATTTAATTCGATATGTTTTATAGATTACAATTAGAACAGCGTCTCGCCCAGGAAGCCCGTGAGAGGTGGCAGGATGACAAACAGGATCGATTCGAGCGACGAGCCGAAGAGAAACGAGCAGCTTTAGACGAGAGAAGGATCAGAGCTTCTTACAATGACTTACGTAAAAGCCCAGCTGTCGAACAGAACAGAGATCAAGTCCAATTCGTCCTAGGGGGCGATAGGTCAGTATTGTTACTTTTATGTAAACTACACTTTTATTGCATACAGTTAATTACAGCTATTTGTTTCTGTCAATCGATTAGCTCGGATTTCAAAATATTATACCTTTCCATCTTCGCTTGTAATCTTTATAATTAATCGAAAACATATTTAATTTCCAGTAACAGCTGGACAGGTGAAGCGGAGCTAACTCGCGCGATACACTCGTCCTCCCAACCGACGTTACGCGCGTCCCTGCGGGGCGCGCCGCTCCCTCCGCCGCGGCGCGCGGGCCCGCTGGGCGGAGCGGGGAGTGCGGGGGGAATCGCGGGGAGTGCGGGGGGCGGGGCGGGGAGCGCGGGGGGCGGGCCCGCTCCCATGATGCGCTCGCGCAGTACGGACGGCGTGGCGCTGGCGGCGCAGGCGCTGGACGACCCGCGACCTCCGCCTAGGACTCCTTTTATTAAGCAGAAGACGCTCTCTGAGGGTAAACTTCTGAGTAGATTATACTTCATTAACACCATATATTTATAATATAGATATTAAAAATGGATGGGCACTTAAATGTGTCATTATGAGAACGGACTAAATAACACAAACGTATAATGTGTAATGGTTTTATAATATGTTTAAAACCAATATAATTGAGGTGTCACTGTTAACTTTTTGCATATATAAAATTATATTTCATATTTTTGAGTAGGCCTTAAAACTAGCAACACAAAAGCAATCAGCATAAAGCAATTAGAATTTCTCATAAACATTTATAATATAAGTAGGTATATAGGTTTTCTCTAAATTTACATACTTATTTCTAAGTTCCAGTCCTAGCCTAAGTACTAACAAGTGTGTACAGAGTGTGTTACATGACATCGCACTACGATTTCAGACGTACCAACACCATCGAGCAACACGCCTCCAGAGGAAGAATCAACAGATTCCTCGTTAATGGAAGACGAAGGTATTCCTAAACCTCGCAAGCGCCGCCTCCATCTGCCATTCGGCAAGAAGACCAAAACACCGGCGTGACACTCACCACTACATGTTGCATAATATTTAAATAAAATAACACTAGTGCAGGACGAAGCGAACTTTAGGAAAGGCAGTAGAAATTGTGTACATACTTAAATATATATTTTTTTCGAATTGACGTTACAAACCTAAATTATATATAGTGCACTTGTTTTAGTTGGTGTAAAATAATGTTATCAGACACGAGTTTAGTTATAAAATGTATTTCAATCGTGTTTTCCTAAAAAACGAACTACTAGTTTTTCAGGACGCAACAGATTTCTACACAACTAAGTCTAGCTCGTAAGAATATAGGAGCGGGTCTACACAAAAAAAAGACATAAGGTACACCAGTCTAAACTTTTTTTTTAAATAAGTTTTAAAAGGAATGGGTAATTGAGTTCTTTGTTTTTTTCTTTTAAGAGGCTTTTAATGTATGTTTGTAAGAATCTTAAACTCTAATTCAATACGTACACGATTCGGTTTGTAGAATTATGTACTTAAGACTATTCAACAAGGGAGTGGGGTAAAATGACGGATATTTTAATAACACATAACAGAACATACCTATTAATTATATTATGATAGTGAATTAAATTGAGCTTCCTATTCTAATTGTGTAAATAAATTGAATTGTCTGTTTTGTTTCGGCCAAAATGTGGGCATAATTTTCACTGCACTTTCACTTAAAATATACGGCAGATGTTATAAAGAGTAGGTTATTTTCTTTAGGGAAAATAGTTAGGGGACCCTAACTCCCTAATCGTATAAGCGTTAACAAAGTAACAATGTGTTGCATAAAATCGACTAATGGAAATTTAAATAATCGACTAAAACTTTGTTTGTTTATAAGTATCAAGTCAATTTTAAAGCCAAAAAGGCTGTGTAGCCAATTACTAACTACAACTGACCAAATGATGTCAATTTTATAAACTGATACCAGTTAATAAATAAAAACAATGAGTTACTTAATAGTTATATCTTCAAGCATCCGAAATTGTTATAATTTTAGTATTTTTACAATTTTAAAATATAGGTACTTTAGCTAATATAATGTTATTGTCGTAACGTCTAAAGCGCGCTTCGTCCTTTTTCAAAACTGTCGCGATTAAAATCTCGGTTCCATTATTAATCTGTGTGCGTGTATTTCAATTTTATTTTTCAGTTCAGACATGTTTCTTTTGCAAGCTTTTAACAGTTTGACTTCACGATTAGCAGTCATTTTTATGTCCTCACTGGTCCTTTTGGTCTATCATATATTTATGTACTTAATTTAAAAGAAAATGTAAATTTTAAGATTTTCGGTCTTAAATTTTAATGACTGACGAAAACATTTCGGGAATACGTAGATCTATTTCACCATTCATCCATTCATCAATATAAATTATTGTCATTTACAATTGCTCGACAACGAGACTACTATTGACTTATTCTAATAAACATATTAGTTTTCTCAAAGAATAAGGCATCAGTTTCTTATTCCCGTGAAAGAACTGCCGAATCGATTTGCGTAATACTGTCCCAAAGGGGTCGACATTGTTTTATGATTTTTCTTTAAACGACATATTTTTTCTTTAAATATCAGACATATACAAGACGTTACAATGCCAGGCGTGAAAATATAAATATTTCTTTGTATTGTAAATGTCTATTTTAAGAATTATCTACATACGTACATTGTACAAGAGAATTAAAGACATTATATTTATACATTTAATTTTGCTTGTATATACAACTTAAATATTTTTTTATGTTTGTTTCAAACTATGTATGTATGATTTTTTTAAGTATTTTGTCCGTTTTTTGAATGTTGTGTTTTTGCAATCCGATGTCCCTATGAACCTTTAAACGTGACAGATTTTGACATTATTAGAAATACATTGTATATTGTAATAGGGATTTACTTAATGGTATTCTTGTGCACTGTTATTTTATTATATATTTGCAAATGAAATACCTATCATTATTGCCTACTGCCTGTATTGATGCTTGTTAAAAATAGTACTTCATAAATTTTGATTCAATTTCGACACACCACGAGTTATTATTATAGCTACAATTTTATATTTGTTTAATTTTATATTTTTTGACTCACTATAAATTTGTGTTATCATTCATTGAATGTGTATAAGTTTTAACTGCGATTAAGTAGCGCTCATTTTAGTTTGTGATTATGGGTAGCACGAATAGCGTTCCAGAAAATTTCATGGTTGTGTTTTGAGCATTAAGTCAAACTTGTGCGCTTTATTTATATAATGAGTGTAATAGTTTTGAGACTACGGCTATTTATTTATTTATTATTTATAAAAATATTTGATTTGTTGTCCGGTAAAACTAAATTATTATGTGGATTGTTTTCTGGAACGCTACATTGTAAATCATTTTGCTAGTGTAAAAACAATTTAAGTTACGATTAACCACAAGTTTACCGTATCGCATCATTCCCTTGTTTGTGTAGGTGATAGCGATATGATTGACCTTTAGCTGTATGTTTAGAAATATTTGTAAGGCAACATGGTGCTAAATGAACGGTTTCAGACTGAACATCACGTATGGCTCAAATTTTTTTATGAATTTTAATATTCAGTTTTCTTCCGTCTTTAATTAATAAATTGTGACGTGACGTTGCGTTACGTGTAGCTCCTGTCTTAATATTAATGACGTGTTAACGTATAATGCGGCCTACGACTGACGTAGCTCCAGGTCTAGGATGTTTACGTCATTATAATATGTCTGTAAAGTCAACAAATCAGTATATTAAAATGGTAATAATTAGTGAAATGCCTCAGATATGTCAAACATCTATATCAACAAATATCGTACTTAACAAAATCATTAAATGTTCGTTGAGTACAAATTTGTACATCAAGTACAGACGGGACAGTCATGCTGTCTTGTTTTTTTTTTATATTGTCAACCTGAAATTTTGATGTAGTTATTTACGTAATTGCCAGGTGTATTTTATGGCTGTTGTTGTATAGTTAACAGCCATGTTTATAACCTGAGATCACCATAATATCTGAATTTTAATTAAAGATGCATATTATGCATTTTACCCATTTATGTTATTATGGCAACTCAGTTTTACGTTATTGACTGTGTTAACATCTTTGATGCCATAAAATATACCAGATTATGTCTAGAAACATATAAATTATAAACCCCAGATCTGATTGCATTGTAAAGACAAATCGTGATAAATAAATTGTTATAATCATTGAAAGTTAATAAATTAATATTGAAAATTAGTGAGTTTTTACTAACATCATATACTTATGGAATTACTTTTCTTCGCAACTTGAGTATCGTAAGCTAAATGGTTTGATTGACTCTAACAAATAAATTAACGCAACCCTTTCGCAACAGATTCTCTTAATTCACATCTGCGTCTCAGACCTCTAGGTTATTACCTAAAGCATGTTTAAAAATTGAAAACATCTATTTTTATTAAATAGATCAATCGTAAGTCTTGAAAAGTAAAATGAAAAGAAGAAAAGAAAATTACTAATTATGTTCCTTTTCCCTTGAGAAAAAAACTTTTTTTTTTCCGTGAGTCACTAGATTGGAAAATCGTGCACATTTTGACAGATGACTGAGATACTTGACCAACCAATTTGCTGTCCCTTTGTCTTTTCTATAGTTAAGAAGCAAAGAGAAATAATAATTTTATGTATACATGTCATTTGAATTAGTGGCAAACACTCACTACTACGCCGAGTGCTGTGGGTCCGATCCCGACATGGGACGACACTTTGTGTGATTCACGAATTAAAGTTCTGAGTCTTTGTGTCCGTTTCATGTATGTTTGTGAAGTCTACCGCAGTATTGTACACCTTAAAAAGGTTTACAAAAACGTCCGTGACGGTATATGCCTAGCTTTTATTAACTATCATACGTACAATTATGATATTTCAAAATAATTAAAGCGAAACAAAAAAACATAATTATTTTATAATTTTAAATAAATCAGGCGTAGGTATATGACAGTAACCTTGAAATGTTTATGAAAATTATGTGGATATTCGTTGAAAACGAATGCTGAATATTAGGCAATGATTTTAATTAATATTAAAAAAAATAGACCCGAGTTCTCACCTTTAAGATTATAACATTACTTTTATCAAGAAATAGTTTACTTTGATATCTTCTATTTTATCAATCAGTTATAAGGTTGTAATTATAAAATTGCCTAAGTCTGAAGCATTTTAAATAGATTAATGTACATATTTCAATTAATTTTATTTTTATTAAGTTACCATACCTATTAGTTATATTTGTGATTAACCGCGCCATGCTTTTTTAAGATATTTGCATCTTTTGTAAGGAAACCCACCCAAAGTAAATACAAATAGGTATATCATTCTTTCCAAGACTATGAGTGAAGCAAGCTATCGGTAAATTAAAATTATGGTGTCTAGTCCTGCTAGGGAACCCTAATTTGGCTCCTATCCCATGATACCTGAAAACGTAAAATGGTGTAAAAAAAACAAAAAAATTCAGTATTAAATTTATTTAAAAATGTTGTGTACAAATATCCTACGGCTGGTGTACGCGACGAGAGCATAATTATAGTAAATAATATTAAAAGAACCACTACAGCCTTCACAATCTCACTGATGCTCAATGTACAACGTAACACTTAATCTTAAATTTTGCACGTCGTCGTGTCGCGAACTCCTTAGCACTGGCTAAATTACGGGCGGTAACGCCGTACAATCGGCGTATAATACAAATAACATTACAACATTAATTACTGTCTTATAGACCGTTAATCGAACAGTTGTTAACAGGCAGCATAACTACATCCAGTCAAGTCGTACTAACCTAGCTATACCTTAAGCACCAAATTGTTAAAATAACAATGGACAATAAAAAATAAAGAGAACCTGAAGGCGGAATACCATTGACTGCTTCGCAGCGGAGACGACTGTGGACATGCAAATTTGTAGACGGCGTGCCGTCACTGATTCGAAGTGTCTATTCATTCCTAAAAGTTTGATGTATAAGGAATGTGAAGGAAACTTGACGTTACGCGAGTTCGTGCAAAGCTTCTTAGTTCAATGATCGGCATTCTATTTCACACTTTGTTCCTGCAATAGGTGCAAAAAAAAAGGTAAGGTCGTCCTTTTTGCAAACGTATTACATACTGTTATGGCCACGAATACCTAATCTGAACATTCAAGATTGGCCTATGACGGCATTGAATTTACTGAAAATATGCATGTACATTCAATAAGTAAATTTAGTAGACCTGAATTAGGAACATCGCCTCCCACTACAAGTCCCGTCGAATTGACAGCCAAATTGAAACTGAGAGATTCTGAACAGAAATAAACTGCATTTATTATAACACGGGATGTAATGTAGCGAGGTTGATAGTTCACCACCAACGTAGCGTACCGACGTATAAACAGACCTCGAAAGTAAGTTAGTCAGTTGCTAGTGAGCGTGTTACTGTTGCTTGCACTCGGCGGGGTTGTCCTGTGGGGCCCCTTTCAGTGGTCGCTTGCCGCGTCTCCTCATCGTCGGCTCCTCGTCTTCACTCTCTTCCGTGGAACATTCCTCCTCCTCCTGACAACGCGTCAATTACGTCAACATTACATCTTATTAGTGATGAGCACATCTCCATACCCCAGACAACATTGAACGTGAATTCTGCAACCATCTGCATTCTCGACAACACTTGCATGCAAACAAGGATAAAATAAATAAAACACACTCGGGTAAAAAGCATACAATTTTAATGTCATCATAAAGACATCATGCCAAAAACAAAGCCATTACCGATATAGAAAAACTACCTGACGAGCTGCTATACATTGACATTATTATGCTATCTTCAATAGAAGGTATACATAAATAAAAAATATATATATCTATTATTCGACCTAACTATTGTCAAATTATATTATTATTAAAAATACATATTGGATAGATCACAGTTGGCGATGTTAAGTGACGATGTAAAAATGCATTTTGGCACTAATAAGAGATTCAACGAATTCAATTCCTGGTTCGAAACCGTAACTTACGGTTGTTGCGAGGTGATCAACTAGCGTCTCAATGGAATGACAGTACTTCAATTTCGTTTAAGAGAAAACGTTTAAATATAGCCTTAGAGAATAGTAATTAATATCACAAGAAATTTCAAAGTACTCAAACGAACATGTAAAAATTCGTACACAAAAATACACACTATAATTACTGTATAATAATAAATAAAAACAAGTTAAATGTATAACTAATCTAGAAATGCAAAATAGTTGTCATAGACATCTAACAAGTTAACATGCATTATACATCGATAATGAAGGCACCTCACACTTCTCGCAACGTCCACAACCTTTGGGGGCCGTCACATCTACTCTAAAACATATTTATCTGTTCACGGATAAACCATGCATAGAAAGAGTTATTAATGCGAGAAGTTCATTGTTGTAAAATATTCTATCATACAAATACTAGGATTTATGGACAATAACCTGACACGTCTCTGATCATTCGTTTAACGCCTCGTTCGGCGAAACCATTGACTTTTTGGTAAAAAATTTAAAAGATATGGGCTGATATGGTCGCGATAGACTAAGCACTAACAGCTCGTGTGTTTACCACGAGCCGCTAAGGGCCCACAACGACCGTCCGAGAGGTAGCTATGTGGGCCCGTATCAGTTATCGTTTGATGCTACTATATAATAACGCTAGGGGCAGTGGAACAACTGTCTTGCATCAATCCTCCACGTCGGACACTTCCTCCGTTCCAGAGTCTGACCAACGAAAGTCTGTCGAATCCTCCTGAAACCAAATAGACCGCTTTTGTTTGTGCAGCCACCATTCAACGCTTGCCCCACGAGACGTAGATACTGTATACTCCTTACCCTACAACTAACGAATGTGCACGTATTCGAACGATTTCTCACGATATAAATTACTGACTTTTAAATAAGGGGAGCAGGGTTTAGAATATATACTGTACCTCCGTCAAATTTGGGAGGAATGGGAGAAGGGATGCAAAAATCAACAGGTTTAGCACAACCAGTACTAAACTAGCTAAGCAAGCAATAAAAACATTTCTACCATGCAAGGTTGAAACTATCACCTCAAAGAACTGCTAGATGGCTGGAGAATTCACTTTATAGAATCTATGCAGACAAGCATGTAAATTGTTTTATTTTATCAAGTTTGTATTTTTTATGTGTGATCATTGTGGTGCTTAGTTCAATCAAGAATACTGCATAATTTGAAACAAAAAACAGCCAGATTTTTGATTGCACTACATTTTTAAAGGTAAATTGTCGTTGTAGCTGCAGTGTTATATGTAATTAATTCATTTCACCACATATTACGTTAAATGGAGTCTGTTAGATTATTATTAATTTCTCAAAAAGAAGAATAATAACTACTGTTAATACAGAATGTTATTGTGAAGTATTGAGTTGTACAGACTGTCTTTAACGCAATCACACATTTGTAAACTTTATGAATATACATACATGAATGTCAAAGTGTGCAACTCACCTCTTCCTCATAATCATCATCGTCGTCGTCGTCAAGTCCCTCGCCGGTGTACAGGAGGACAGCGCGAGACACTACTCGCTCGCGAATGTAGTGGCCGATCTCAAAGTCTGCTGTTAGCAGCGCCTGTAATCATGCGTTTACTACGTATACTTAAATGTGATAAGTTCTATACTAGAGTTAAAGAAAGTTTTTTTCTGATTTTGAGGTAATTTTACAGTATTATTAGGAGCCGAAGATTAACCATAAACGGTTATTATTTATAAAGTAGTAAGTTTAAGTTGGCAAGTATTTTTAAAGTCGAGATTAGAGTTATTATGAACCAGTCCATTTTAGAAATCTTTTTTCATTACAATTCTACCATTGTAGACGTTTTTATAACTTTTTAAGACTACTTCCCTTAACACCACAACTCGAGGGGAACTATTTATTATCCTAGATACTATGTTTCTAAGTGTCAATGGTTATTAGTTAGGTATGGTTATTACGAACTTAGTTCCATGATTCAGAAAATTATCTTTGACAGAAAGAGACCTCCTTGTGTTAGTTGACATTTTGTTAACATCATGTTAATTAGGTTCAGCAAAAAGAGCCGCTTCGAAGAAGAGAACAGTATGTATTACAAAAGAAATAATTTGTTATTGTATAAACAAATTTCAGCAGCACATGTATATATTGCTATACTCATATTTTAATTATATTAAAATTTAAATATTTCATACCTAGCCTATATACTTATAATACATATATTAATTTCCTATAAAATAAATATCACAGGTTGAGAATGTAAATGGATTATAAATATAATTATTATCTTGCCACACAAAACAAAAACAATAAGTACTTGAATATCCGAGGCGAGGGTGGAGTTAGGGTCATCAGGCATGGTGGGGGGCGAGAAGAAGTTGAAGAATGAGTCAGCCTGAACCGACTTGGTGACAGTGCGTACTGAGCCACGGGACTTGTGCTTTTGCTTCTTCTTTATCGTCTTCACTGTTACATTCTTGCCTTTTTTCCAGTTGATCTCGCATCCCTGCATAAATTTTGTGGTTATACAGTGCTGCAGACGTTAGGTGCCTAAGGATTTAGTTTAGAATATAAATTATGTAAACAGAGGGTTTTGGATAATTTGTTAACATTATTCATATTAAAAAAAAATTGTAGAGATCAAAGTATTTTTGCATGAAACTTATCTATTAATTACAGTTTTAGTAATCAAAAAACTTGATGGGGTATGAATTTTCGCTAATCTCATCTCAATTACTACTAGGCATCATTTTTAAACAAGTTAAAAATTGTTCTTGTAATTATTTTTATATATAAATTCTACAACAATATTCACATTTTTTTTTTGCTAACTGATAAAAGACCTTTAGTATAAACGAAAAATGAAAGTGATTTTAACGTACCTTGCAAGAATAAATCTCGGGTCCCTCAAACTCTAGTGGGCTATCTTCATCTGGCTTACATTTCATGGAGTACTCCTTAGTGAGGATTGTATTTGTAAAGTAGTCATTAGGCGAGAAGTGGAATTCCAATGTAAAGCCAATGGGATCTTCATGCATTTGCACTATTGAGCAAAAACAAAAGGTTAGAAACTTCAATTATGGGGGTTTGGTATTTAATTAATTGTAAACAAAAAGCCTCAGTTGGTGATGCATGTTGAACAAATCAATCATTGATTTTTCAGATAGTGGTGTTAGTGTGTCATCATTTAATTATAAAAGGTAGATAATCTTTTTTTTTAAATGTGTAAATAATTACCTTTAATATCCTGCAGGCATTTAAGAATAGGCTCATCATGTTCCTGCATCATTTCACAGAGCATTGAAACATTCTTAAATATGGTGTACCAGAAGTCTGGGATACCCTTCACATTAGGGTCCATAGGAGGCCTAAAATTTAATAATAATGTTAATTCCTGTTGAGCACTATACAGTGATTGAACATTATTTAAAAAGGCTTCAGTTGGTGATGCATGTTAAACAAATCAATCAACTTGTTTCAGAAATTGGTGTTAAATGTCATCATTTAAAAACTTTATGAATGCTACTGATTACAGTCATATCATAATTGCAATAAGTTGCAAAATAAGGGCTAGACTAAGTCTTGAATATTCATAACAACATACTTACATTATCTATATATAAGCAGGAAACTGCTATAATTTATAGTAAGAAAGAAAACTAGACTCCTATCATTGTTATTCATTATAATGTACTTATAATTACACTGTGATAAATATACTTACTCCTGTGGCTTTTCTTCTGGTTTCTTTTCTTCCGTCCCTTCTACAATAGCAGCATTTTGCACAGCGCGTGCCAATTCCTCCTCTTCAGTCTCATCACGCCAAGGATTCACAGATTCCTCGTCAGTCGGCTCGTAACCTCCGTTTACGATTTGTGCACGCTGCACAAAGTATACTTACATTAACATTATATCCAACCAGTTAAAGGCATTTATAATACTTTTTATTTTGCATCAGTTGGTTGTTTATAACTTATCTATCAGGGCATTCAGTTCTTGGTGGTAACATAAACATCATGTGTATTTTAATTGTATGTTTTGGACTTGTTAAAAACTAGTATAGATGTAAAACTGAATTCTTACCTTTTCAAAAAGCGGCTTGTAGAGCTTCTCGTATTTGCATTCGAGGGCGTGAACCTCACTATAGAACTTGGCCTCGATGTCGACGAACTCCTTCTGCAGTGTACGCAGCGCACGGATGCGCTTACGCACGTTTGGAGGTAGGGATGCCATCGCTTCTACGTGAATGCGATTGGTGATCGCAGCTAACATGTCATTGCGCGTTAAACCACTGTTGACAAAATACCTTGAAATGAGTAAAGCTACGTCCTATTTTTGCTTAGGTTGTCCTATGATTATTATATATTAAGAATAAATAAAAGTAAGAGTACCTATTTTCCAAAGGTTAACTAACAGTTGGACAACCCAAATAGGTACATTTAAATCAACATGTGTAATAGCTTACTCGGACGAGTAACAAAACTTAATATTATATACAGAATAAGAGAAATCAAAGATAGATAGATAATTATTTATTGTACACTAATAGTAATAATAATATTAACAGAGTGTGAAGGTGTGATTTAACAAAAACTTCAATTTTAGATTAAACTGTTTGTGACTCATTTGTAAACATAAAGAAACTTATATGAAGTAGTAAATAGATCAAGATGACTCGTTAAATTTTCAAACGTTCTAAAGCAAACAAGGGCGTACATAATCACTCAAAAACCAGACAACTTTGGAATCCTGTATACATTTACGAAACTTACAGTAGCGCCCTATTTTCCTGAAATAGCTGCATCTGTATTAACGCAATAAAGAACATACCGTACTATCCGTATCGTATCCGTACGAATAAATAGCTGAAATAGATAACGAGGCTGCTGATAATGTAACAATATATGACAATAGGTTTCAAAAATTAGCACCAATGTGCCTCTGTGGAGTGATAATGTTTACGTACATAAACGTGGCCAGGGTGATGCCGTCGTCCTTATTCTAAGACTGTTAACAATGATTGGCTTGGACAGAATAACAGGGATGGCATGCTTTGCACTGTCATGCATTTTGTATTTAAGTATTATTATATAAGTATTCTTATTAATTTTATCTATGTATGTATGCTATGTAAGACTAAGTTTTTCTTAGTCTTAGATTTGTCATATTGAACTAGTAAAACGAATGCAACTTATTCTGATGTCGACGCAACCCGATCACTTCAAACTTACAAAAGGTGCCTCGAGTATGTAACACTTTAGTGCCATTTGGGAAATCTAAGTTCTACGCAGATTTTTATTTATATGTATGCACTACAAGAAATAGGTACCAGTCTGAGCTACTGAGAACATAGTAAGTATATATAATGTACTCCCGTAGTTCTATTTTGGTATAGTTATATACAGACTAGCTAGAGTATACAAAATCAACAAAACGAGTATCCTGACAAGTTTAGCGAGTGTGAAAACGCGAACAACTCGACGCAAGATGTACGTACATCTTGGTCTACTTGTTAAAGAAATAAAACATAAATAGGACAAGTTTGAATAAAATTTTACTTTCTGACAACAATAAACAGTAGGAAGTATTATTTTTATGTGCATCAATTTTGGCAAATATGGTTTTAACTGATGACATTAATAAATTGATTTGACTACAATATTATGTACGTATATTTTCTTCTTCATTCTCACACCTACAGTATTCACGAGTATACCATCTACTGTTCTGGGGTTCAGAATCGATATTACACAACTTACAAGGTCACATGCAGGGAGATGAAGTCATGCGATGGAGGCCGCAGCGAATATGTAGATATGCAATAAATTTTCGAATACAGCGTTTGCGAACTCACGAATTTCTTCCCATATACAGAAATAGGCACCGAACGGAGCGAATGATGGTTTTAAATCTTTATTCTGCATTTAGATACAATATCTCCGAGAATTATTGATCGAACGTTTTTTTGCTTTGGCGGTTGACCTTCCTGTAGAATGCTTAATTTAAATTGTAAACCTTATAATAATTTTAATTTACATTCTCCAAATTTTGCGATGTTTTTTTTGACATTTTTGTGTTAGACATTTTTGTCTTAAAACTTAAGTCTTTCAGGACATTATTCCAAGATAAAAGGTTTCCTTTTTTAGGGTTCTGTACCTCAAAAGGTAGGAACGGGTAGACCTAGCAAGTTGAAATTTATACCAGATACTGAGGTCTATGGTCTCTATTAGTTCTATTAAAATCAAAGTCCCGAGTCAACACGATAAAACGATATGGGGAAATTTCGATTTTCGCGAAAACTTGTAAGTACCAAAATTTTACCTTAATTTTCATTTTTTTTATTTTTCAGAATTTTCTCTTTACTTGTGCTGTAAGACCTTGCTTTTAACCAAAATTGACAATTCTAGGTCAATCTGAAGTACCCTATGGGTTTTGGATCGAAAACCTATATGGTAGTTCCCGTTGACACGCATGCGAGTGTGTGAGTCTATTTCGGACAGGCACAGAAAACGTGAACATATTTTTATTCAAAATATAAACGGCGGCATTAAACTAAAAAACTCTTCTAGCTCTACTGCTCACCAGTAGAGCATTGAGACTTGTTGATTCACGACTGCTCAACAAATATGAAATTTTCCGCAAGCTTCCTTTGATCTGTGTTCGAAAAGCGACACTAGGCCCAATCGACGACAAGCCGAGCCAAACAACCCGTTTACACGCTTTGTGTTTTTGGACACTTGTCGAGGCTTGCCAAACGTGTAAACGGCCTATTAGAAAGGTGGCTTTGGCCTTTATGCCACGCTGGCCAGACAGGTTGGTATAGGGTTTGTATCAACTTTTTTTGTTGCAATGCTGTTGTCCCGCGTAGTTTTCTCCCTTACTCGGCTCTTACGTCACGGGATAAATACGGGTGGTGACACTCCGTATTCTTAATCTGTCGCCATATGGATTCTCAATTCGGTGATATTTTTTGGTTTCTTATCTCGGAACCCCCGTCATTTATGAACTCATTTGAAAAAATATTTTGGTATATTTGGGAGTGTATTTCCCATTTGGTCCCATTCAAATTTGAAAAACGCAAATTCAGAGGTTGGGTGGTAAATAAGGAATAAAAAATGCCGTTTTTTTTAATTCATCGTGGCATATTGAAGTCGGTGATACTTTTTAATAAGTTAAACCGCTAACGGCTATGCCAGGGCTAATTTAGCCTTGTCCTCCATTATATTTGACTAGGATGTACATTCCGTAGTTTCATAAATCTGTTGTCATTTAAAAAAATATACTATTGTTTTGTAATAATTCCATAACCATTAAACGCGAAACTTTATGGGGGTGGAATCTGATTGGTTTGTTACCAATTAGGATCTAGATGTAATTTGGCACAGAGATGGATTATAGTCCAAAAAAGTAGGTACATAGGCTTATCTAAAATTAAGTAATCAAATTTTTGGCCTACGATATGCACCCCAGTAGTTTATATCTTCCTATACCGAAATCTGTGTGATATGGTTTTTCCAATACCGACATCCTCTGTTTTGATCTTCAATACTGAATTGCGCAATTTACGCCAAGTGTGGGACCGTCGGCATTTGCCTTTTCAGCATCATTTTCTTTTTTAACTACAGGCACTACAAAGACTTTGTTTATTGATAAAGGCTATAAAATATTATGCAGCGATCTACAGAAGCGGAGTATTACATACAAGTAAATGAAAATCCGTGTCATTATTAACAAAAATAATGGATCTTTGGTTTATCTCATGCACGAAACATGTTTTCTATACTTTCTCTCGCTTGACTTGATTTTTACATATATGATTGGCCAAGTGCACAAAAAATGTAAAATACATGAAGTGCCTATAAAATTCCGTGATCTAGACGAGCACGTTAGTCAAGTAGAGCGTGAAATGACTCATTAGTTCAATGACCCATAATCTCGCGCCTTTTTGTGCATGCTCCTTAATAGCTAGCCAGACGTCCGATGGTGCAATGAAACGAGATTTTTTTTTATATTGGAATATTAGTGTAGACGAATTTAACAGACAGCTTGATGGAGACTGTCCTGAATGATGATGAATTCTTAAAAAAGTTAATTCAAGAAAGTTGTTACTTTTAACGTTTTACTTATTTATGGTAACCTGGTTAAAATTTAGATGTATTTAACACAAAAGACAAATAGGTACATCCAAGCTTAATTTCTGGACTATTTCGTTATATGTAAGTTACGACAGGAAGAGGTGAATCATAACTTATTAATATTAAGAATCCTGATGTAAGTACGTAGCTTTAAATATTTTATCTACCTACGCATTTATCGACTTTAATAAATGTTTCATAATTCTTAACTTTGGAGATTGACTAAAAATAATCATTGAAGTACATATTATCAATTTGTAAACAGTTTTAAATAATGTATTAAAAAAGAAGGAATTATTATTTGAGAGAGTTTCCTCCAGAAATGATGATGAAAACATCATTTCTGGAGGAAACTATGAAAATATTTAAGCGCATTAAAACCGCGAGCTAACTGCGTGATCTCATGATCACACATTTACGCGCACATCCTTTCTTACATATTAACATAGCGTGCAAGTTGAAACCCATGTTCTTCATTGAAATTTAGGTACTTTTATAGACTTCACGTGAGGAAACTTTTTTAACTGAAAAAGACTAACCTTAAAGTCTAATTACCTTTTCATTAAGTGTTGTGCCAGTTCGCCGCCCGCGACGATTTCTTCCTCTTCTCCTGAGTCAACCTCGGAGGTATGGTCATCGCCAGCGCGTTCTACAGTACCCATGTTTTATACCTAAAACAAGAACAGCGTATCATAAATGCGGCGTTCGCGCCACGTTGGTTACCATACCGGCATTTGACAAATACTTAAACAACCAATGTCCAAAATATTAATGTCACAACTAACAACAAAAAAATCTTTAATTCACTTCTATAAAGAGTGTTCTTAGTGATATGCTTTAGAAAACATATTGCGTAGTATGTTGAAAAATCCTTTTAGGCCGACCGCATGGCTTACTACGTTTTACTATGAACTACATAATCAATAGTACTTACCGACTTTAACATTAATAGCAAAGAAAATTAATGTAAGAACTACGCTATTTAATGCACTATATTGTTAAAATTGCCGAAATATTCGAGTATAACAACGTACCTCACTGCCGACAAAAGCTGAGAAAAGAAAGATGGCGACGGAATACGGCGCAGCGAATGAGTAATACGTCTTTTTGAAGTTAAACTGCAGCGCGAATGAAATGAGTTCCCAGAACGAATGAACAAAAGAGGTTTTAACTCCACAATATTTCCGGTTTTAATTTGAGTCGTAAAAGTTGTCTTGTAATGTATCGCATAACTTTAGCCCTGAGGTATCTTTTAAAATTTACCCCTTGAAAGTGAAATTGTATTTTTTCAATATTATTATTATTAGTAATATAATTCTATAGTTACTAAAAATGTTTAAATGACCTATTTGTACATTTCATGTAAATATTTTATTTCTTTGAAACTGTGTTTCATGTTAATAAATTATTATTTTTTTATCCCAAAACTAAACACCCATGTGTTTTTTCTTCGCAAATAGGTTGTTGCTGTTGCAAGAGACTCAGATCAACCGTAGACAGAAAGTGCTCAAGAACTTGGGTTCTGGGAAACCGGGTTCTCAAGAATGACTAAGTTGTGTCTCTGGACATACCTTAGCCATTTCTTAAACATAGCTACTTTTATATCAGATACCGTCTTTTGATAGGACAACGGGCCACATTAATCGTTGACCCTAGGTGAATACAGACTTAATAAGACGAATATCATCTTCGACGTCAAGTCTCACTTTTCAAGGAGGAAATGATATTCATTCTCTTTAGTTTATTACCTACCAAGCTACCTTTTTTTTTTTTTTTTTGTTAACGCGGGGAGATCCTCATGTATGTCCTCCGCCCAGGGGAAAGGGCGGAGGGGTCTGTCAGACTCCTACTGACTAAAACCCCCCGGTGTTCCGTCTCTCACCTACGCCGGGGATCGCGGGAACTGAGGTGACTTCCGCAATACCTACCAAGCTACCTAGCCCAACCATAGCCTCTAGCGTGAGGCTTCCGACACCTTTAATCCATGCTCACACTAAGCACTCTACTAGACTGCGATCAGGCCCCTCTTTTCCACTGGGCACTTTAGGCACGTGCCCAGGGCCCCTCGATCGATAGGGGCCTGATTCCTGCCAGATCACCAATCCCTACCAAAAAGGTAATTTGCCCAGGGCCTCCAATAGGCTAGAGACGGGCTTGACTGCGATGTATAGTTTCCTCACGTCAGGCTCGGCAATGATAGCAGACTATGCTAACATGACTAGCATTAATATCGTAATGGAAAGAAATGAAATAAAATATTATTCAATGTATAATATTAACCTGTTTTATATAATTTAAACTTTTATCCAGTATTTTAAACGGAACAGGAACCCGATTTATTGTTATATGGGTAAAATATATTTAATTAGGCAAGTACTATTTTTACCTAGCTACCTACGTTCGTGATCGTTTTTATGACATCCCTTGCCAATTTTTAGTCGAGACAGTCTTAACGTATTTAGCGGTCTATCATAGGAGTTGACTTGCTATTACTATTTATTACACATATAGCAATAGTATGACACCGGTAGGAAACTAACCGCTTCAAATTAAACCAGTCTTAAAATGACTCCGCTCCAGTGCAACACCGTCACCTGGACCGGGACGTTGCCATCAACGTCTCACAACAAGGAGTAGTCTATACAGGGCTATAGACTGCATAATGCCAACGTTTATGAAGTTCTACACTCATTCTCACATTAAATTTATGACATTAACGGATAATATTCATACAAAATATTAAAATAATTATTACTGTCATTAATGACAACTACAAGCACAAGCTATATTATTATGCTCCTACAAAATCAGATAAGATTAGCGCGCGTCGTTATTCTAATAATAATTTAATACATAAACCGATTTACTAATCTACTACTGCTTGGTAATCGTATTACTTTACTGAATAGTTTGTTGTATTGCCCTTGTTAGTATAGGTAATATCAAGTTTAACGCTTGTATGCAAGCTTTGGACCTGATTCGTATGAATTTTCAAACCGATTCAACTTGGTTTGATAATATTCCAGACCGTCACATCTCCAAACGATACCTGACAGTAACTACTCTGTGTATATAGTTATCTGTGAATGTGAACTATACGAATTAATTGTCAAATCTGTCATTAAGCGTGGTAGGTACAAATATTGGTCGTAAGAAGTTGTTTGTTATTTTGATTAATCTGAACTCCTAATATTGTGTACCGTTACAATAATAGTAAAAATAGTAATCAGTGTTAGTAGTTATTTTAGTGTGTAATGTAACGGATTTTAAAGATGCCGCCCACGGTGCACACAAATGAATCTGAACGGGACAAACGTCCGCAACGGACGGGCGAAAGGAGGTTAGTTTGTAAGAAATCTATTATTTTTATTTTTTCAAAACAGTAACCAATAATTGTATTTATATTTTTTTAGGTCGGAATTGGTAACACGCGTAAAGTTCTGTAACACATTGCCAGACATACCATTTGATTTAAAATTCATCACTTATCCTTTCCCGTCGACTCGATTTATACAATACAATCCGACGTCTTTGGAGAAGAGCTACAGATATGAAGTCCTTACAGAACATGATTTGGGGGTACACATTGATCTTATAAACCGTGATATATATCAGGGAGACGGCAACGCATTTTTGGATCCCGCAGATGAAAAGCTTCTCGAAGATGACGTTCTTACACCACAAGATTCCAAAAGATCACGACATCATGCCAAAAATGTGTCTTGGTTACGTCGCTCCGAGTATATCTCTACAGAACAAACTAGGTTTCAACCTCAGTCTATGGAGAAGGTATTTCTTTCGTTTCCATACAATTATTTCACTTTTCGAACTGTAGTTATGTTGTAAATGAAATGAAATCTTATCACTTCGTTATATTTAAGATGTTATATTTACTTTGAAAAACAAGTTATTGTTGTCAAAAATGTGGGACTCAACCTAAGTGAACCTATGTTATACTTTACAGAACATAAATGAATATTACAACAGGTTCAATTAGTATTTTATTACCAAAAAACTATCAGTGTGTTTTACATCACTCTTTCTATTATTTTTTTTTCACCAAAGCAACTATGTATTGACTTTAGTGAAATATCTAGCAAGAAATATTATTTGATATTTTAACCTCTGATATGCCGCTTCACTACACTGCTTACCGGTGAAAGCACTTTACAGTGTAGTGGCATATCAGAGGAGAGGCATGTGAAGAGTTAATCAAAATCAATTTATGATTGTTACATATTGAGTAAATTATGATGATGTTGCTTAAAGTATAAATATTTCAGGTTGAAGCTAAAGTTGGTTACAATGTCAAGAAAATCTTTAGTGAAGAGACTCTTTATATGGACCGTGAGAGTCAAATTAAGGCTATTGAAAAGACTTTTGAGGACAACAAGAAGGTTTTGGATAAACACTACAGCAAACCTGGTGTCACTCCAGTGGAAGTGATGCCAGTATTCCCTGACTTCGAGATGTGGAAATATCCATGTGCTCAAGTCATATTTGACTCAGACCCTGCACCTGCTGATAAGAATATTGCTGGACAGATGGAGGCTATGTCACAAGCTATGATTCGGTGAGTATTAAACATTTTTACTTGTGTCACTCAATATGGAATGTATGACATGTTTGTCTAACCTAACTTTTTATATATTGTCTATACAAAACTAGCTGTACCTTGCCACCCTTTGCTGTGCCACATTGTGGTTGCAAAAAATAGATTAAAACCATCTATGAACCATGTATATCATGTCAAAATTTGGGCTTAATCAGTGCAGATCTTTTTTATTACATACTTTATATTAGCTTCACTTGTATGTTTGTTTGCTTGTATAAGCGACTTCAAACGGTCAGAATTCGTTCAAACTTTGTAGATAAATCGAGGACCGACTACAATACACTAATCTAAAAAAAAATAGGGGTGCTTTTTACTATTGACAACAGGCACCCAACACTTTTTTTCAAATTTATTAAAATTTATTTTCTATTTTTTAGTTTGGTTTTCTATAAAAAGTGTGTTTTTTAGTTTTTTGAAACTATTATTTTTTATAATTTTTAAGCATACACAAACCAACCTTACATTAATATATAGATTAAATTTTTTAGCTCTCCTGAGAACCCAGATTTTGAAGAATATTAAAATATCTGATTATTTGCAATAAATTGTATTATATCTTATGTTTTATTCTATTCAGAGGTGTGATGGACGAAAGTGGAGAACAATTTGTAGCATATTGTCTACCCACTGAAGAAACTCTAATGAAACGCCGCCGTGATGTGCAAGAGAACATGATATACTTGGACGATGACACATATGAATACAAGATGGCAAGAGAGTACAACTGGAATGTCAAAAGTAAAGCTTCAAAGGGCTATGAGGAAAATTATTTCTTGGTTAGTTTTACAAATGATGTTACTTTTTACACATTTGAAAATACCAATTGTATTGCTGCACACTTCTGAAACCACTCTTTTATGATGTGAAGACTAATAAATCCATCACTAGGCCAAATTAAAAAGATATTTGTTGCTTATAGATCTTTTCTAATCTTTCTTTTTAGTAAGTCTTTTTTAGTATTCTCAGTATGTAATTTAATGTTTCTGTCTTAGGTTGTCCGTAACCATTGTGTATACTACAATGAACTCGAGACACGGGTGCGTCTATCAAAACGACGTGCCCGTGCAGGTGCCGCTGCCCAGGCTCTCACAAGACTGGTTGTAACACACAGGCCACTCAGTGCCACTGAACATCGCATGTTGAGACTCAGAGAGAAGCAACTGGAACCTCCACAAGTACGTAGCTCTTTAAATGCATTGATTTCTAAGCACTTTTATATAGTAAATTAAGGAATAAAGAATACAGTTTGTGGGATTACATATATTCATAATGACATAGGTTGATTGATGTTGGTGATACTTTTTTGAATATGTTATAAATTATGATAATAGACAGTGAAATAACTTCCTTTTAGGAAGAAGATGAGGAAGAAGAAAATGATGAGGAAGAAGAGGAAGACAAAGGAGATCAGAATGAGGAGAAAGAAAGGTAGTTTTCAAATTAAATTCAGTTATTTGCGTCTTAAACATTATTTCTGCATTTGATAAAATGTTTTTTTTAAAGAACTGTAAGTATTAACTACTTTTGAAAAAGAGTACTAAGACTAATTGTAAAGCGTATCATATTTCAGATCCAGGTCTCGTTCCAAATCTGGATCCAAATCCCCACAGGGCTCTGAGAAGTCTAAAGGGTCGAACAGGTCCAGATCAGGGTCTCGTGAACGATCCAGATCTAAGTCCAAATCAAGGAGTCGCTCACGTTCGGGCTCTGGGTCCAGGAAGTCTAGGTCCCGTTCAGGATCTGCGCAATCTGGTTCTGTTAGGTAAGATATGTTTAACAGGTAAAAATTTGCTAAGTATACGAATAAGGAACGTAATTTTTAGAAGTTACGATATGTATTTTCAGATCTGGCTCAGGGCGATCTCGTTCGCGATCCCGGTCTCGTTCCAAATCTGGTTCACGAGCTTCATCCCGCGCTTCTTCCCGTGCAAGCTCTAAGAGTGGGAAAGGCTCACGGGCTAGCTCCGGCAGTCGAGGCTCTAAAGCTAGTTCTAAAGGCAGCGATAAGGTATGACCGCTATGAAACACTTATTTAGGTACTCCAGTGAGAAAAATCACATATTTAATATGGCATGTTTATTTATTTGGTTAACTCACAGCATATATATATATATGTAACATTAATGGTAAAATCTAAGTAATAAGGTTCTGATATACAAGGCACTTACGAGCTAACACAGCACCATGTAGGGCATTTGTACAGAAAACATTGACTGGAATTTTTGTCTGTATGTTTATTTGTCCTCGAAACGGCTAGAATACATGTTTTGTTTGATTCACGTTCACAAATAGGATGAGATCCGTTTGTGCCACACAGAACCACTTTTATTAATCCTGATGCGATGGTTGGCCTAAAATGAAACTAATACGTGCTAATATATTGTTATGGCATTGTGATATACCTTATATTATAATACTGACACGAATTGATAGTTCAAGAGAATAATTTATTTTATAATGTATGATTTCATCCAGGGTTCCCGCGCAAGTTCTCGGGCATCATCCCGTGGCAGCAAGCGATCCTCCCGGGCGTCATCACGCGCGTCCCGGGCTTCGTCTAAAGCATCTGGGTCTAAGGCATCGTCTAGAGCCAGCTCGAAAAGACATTCTGGGAGCGGTTCCGACAGGTCGAGAAGTCGATCGGCTAGTGGTTCAAGACAAGTACGTAACCGGCTTATAGAGAACTAAGATGGCAAACAAATACTCACCACTTCCCTTGGGTTCTACTTAGTAGTGTCGTACAGATAATATTTAGGTCCAAGTACATATCATCCCGTGGGTGTCGTAAGAGCCGACTAAGGGACCAAACTACGCAGGACAACAGCACTGCAAAGAGAAGGAAAACTTGAAACAAACCCTATACCAACCCGTCTGGCCAGCGTGGTATAGTAGGCCAAAACCTCCTTTCTAAGGAGAGGCCTATGTCCAGCAGTGGACTGTCAAAGGCTGTTGATGATGATGTGTGACATATTGGACTCAGTTGCCCAATGCAAGCCAACGCCAATGTGTACATGGGGCAATTGTATACATTGGCGGATGTTGGGCCACCTTGGAGTACATTTGGCATGTTGTCTGTTTTTCGGGCACACTTCAAAGGAATCGTGGCATAGCTTGGCCTGTGGTGTTTACTCTTTCGCCCATTGTTTAGTTCGTTACCGACCGCTGACAGGATAGTACACTTTTTGTTGCGTCAGAATAGGTAAATTTTTGATCAACAATAAGGAACAAACAAACTCACTTTCACATTTATAATATATAACGGAGTACCGTTGTCTGGGTTGTTTTTAAATAGAGTGACATCAGCAAAGCCGACGTCATTCTTTAGATTGTCATGGTTTTCACTTTTAAAAGCAAATAATATTAGTAGTAAATAACAACAACAATAGTAAATACCACTAAAGATGTCTACCAAGTTGTTACACACAGTCGTACATACATCCGTACAGTAGTAAATAAAGACAACAGTAAATACAGTTAGATGTATTCCAAGGTCTCACAAGCAGTTGTGCGTAGATCCGAACAGCCTGACGTCTTAAGCGAGAATGACCAAGTATGCGTAATGCAGCTCGTTTTTATAGGCGAAGTAGTGGGGTGATTGTTATGAGTCACTTGTTTACGGCGCTCGAAACACGTGTAAGTGACGTTGTTGGTGTTGCTAGTGTTGAATACTGTTTTGCGCCGATATATAAGTATGGCTAAGTCCCGTCCCGTGCTCGTAGTTATTTATTTTAATTTTTTAGTATAGTTTGTAATTCGGGTCGCTTGTTTGGCCCCTTTAAAACTATAGGTATTAATGTTCCCAGGTCAATTTTGCATGCAGTAGAATTGCAAACTCCCTTCAAATTTCTATTTTTGAACTTAACAGATAGAGTCATTGATGGCAACATTTTGATTGCATTAAAAAAAAAAAAGATTTAAGTATCCGTTCTGGTGCGGGGGAAGCATACAAATAAATAACAATTACTAAATTCCTTACTCAATTACTAAATTTACTAAATTCGACGCCTATCGCAAATGGTGCGCCAGGCAACAATGAGCTCTACACCAATGTGTAAACACCTACGCGTTGTTGGCCTATAATAGCGCATTGCGGAGCCTGCCCCAACACTGTCCAATGTGTACTGCAGCCTTTATATAGAGTGTCAGTGCACGCTTATTAGAAATTATATGTGAGAATATAACTAGATGATGCCCAGTTTGGGCAGCAAGTAGCAGTATTGTGTAGACTACAACGTTATCCGTATGGTGACGGATTAAGAATACGGAGTTTTACCATCCATCGCTAGTCATCCCATGGGTATCGTAAAAACCAGCTAAGGCGCAGGACAACAGCTCCACAAAGAGAAGGAAAACTTGAAACAAACCATAGGGTTTGTTTCCTACTATAAGGAAAGGCTGTTGATGATGAAACCACAACGCGGCAACGTTTGCAGATCATACATAAATTTTATCTGATCCTGGCATCGAACCCGAGACCTCAGCATAGCAGTCGCACACGCTACAACTGCACCACCGAGGCAGTATGGGGTAACTTTCAGCCACGTGGGAAAGCTTGTGATAAAAAATGTAGTTGGTCGCGTTGTAGTTTCATCATCAACAGCTTTTAATAGTTCACTGATATCTAGCAGTGGACTATTAAAGGCTGTTGATGATGATAATAATATGGATATTATCAAGGCGAGTTTAGTCTTAGCTTTGTACCGACCGATTTTAAGAAATCTAATAGTAACTTTTTGATTCCAGGGTTCGCGTAGTGGTTCAGCATCTAGAGCGTCGTCTAGTCACAGCGATTCTGAGTGAACTCCTACGACAATTCATTTTGTGTTCATGACAATGTACGTACTTTGTAAATTCTCACAATGTGTTTGCACACAGGTGTGAAAGAGTAAGACGATTTCTTTGAGTCGTCTATGCAGTTTCTTCATTTTCTGAGAATACATAGTATAATAATTTCTCACTCATTAAAGACACTGAAAGAGCGACTTCCGCAACTTTCTACGCATTCTTATCAAGAAAAAACGCTACTGTAGATATATGTATGTGACATGTTCAATATTTCATATCTGGCATAGTTTATTCTATACAATATGATTGTAAAGTGTACTGCTAATGTAAAGTGTAATTTAATAAAGCGTAAAATACGACGATCTGTATAATTTATGTCCGTCAAATTTGTGTCCTCTATAAGTAAGTACAAGAATAAAGACCAACGCTTCTAAATAAAGAACAGCCTGCTGATGCAATTAAACAAAACCAAAAAGAATATAATTTAGAAGTTATGTAAAAACAATTTGAAAATTTTCGCTGCCTCTGGATAAGGACGGTCAAATTAAATAGACAGAAATAGATAAACCTCCTTGCAAATTACCACCGGGTCAAAGTAATTCCTTGTTTCCATATTGGTGGACTCCGCTGGTGGGCCAAGACGTATTCCTAGACGGCACCGCAGTGATAAGGCCAGGATTTAAAAAAATGCAAAAAAATGCGCGCGCCTCATACACGTGATAGATGAGATGGGAAACTAATAACAATATAAGTAAGGGATAGAATCAATAAATTAAAGGACAATAGGTACACTTTACTTACCTGAATGAGACATAGTACCTTATTTTAATGCTTTATGTAACGATTGTGTGCGTTACCCCAGCAAAATAATGTCGAAAATGGTCATTTAAACGTTATAGATAATTAGTTGCTCCCCTTCTGTAATTGTTAAGCACATTTTTAAATTTGTTTCACTTAAACTTTTTTAGTTATTTCAAAAAAACATTTCCTGCTGGGGTAACGTTTGAAACGTTACCGCAGCCAGACATTTTCTTTTTTAATTGTAATATTGAAATAAATTTTAGCTAAATAATTAGTTATCTGGACTAGGTAAATGTTACAACTTATTTGGTATTTGTATTTTCTTCGGCTGCGAAGTTATTCGAAATCCTGCTGGAGTAACGTTTGTGGGTTTGCTGGATCTCTGAAACGGGTAAGCGGATTGTAACCATCTTTTGTACATAACTTCTTAAGGATTAGTTTTAATTTGTTCGACAATAAAATAACAAAAATAATGGACCGTTTAAAAATTATTTAGGTAAGTATGAAAACACTTCAATACGTCCTAACACTTTAAATAAGACCTCTAAAGACTTACTTGAAACGTTATTCTATTGCTTGTAACTACCTTCAAATGTATACGAATTTTCGTAAGGATACTGTTAGTGACTAAAAAGTTATGATGAAATGTAGCTCTCCACGGTCACGATCACAATGTGTGCGGCCTTTTTTGGCCACCGATAAACCTGTGTGTAGATATATAAACTGAATGTTATGCCAATAATTAGTTGTTTAGTTCAGCTGTCTACCTGTAGAATTTCAGCGTCGTACATATAATAATTTTCGAGATAATTAAATAAAAGTCATTTGAAGGTGCAAGTCCGTGGTAATCCGACCATGTTTAGGTGGTTACAAAAAAGCGATCACCCAGTACATTGCGCTGTCTTTTAAAATGTTTAGTGTAATACACCTTACGATTTCGGTACAGTTGCGTATAGTGTTAAATACATTCAATATTTATTCATTATTATTACCTATTATTTATTTTGTTTTTTTCCCTAATTGATCTTAAGTACTAGTTTCTTTACTTAAAATTGATTTAGTCTTTTTTACTACCGGAGCTACAGTCAACAGAAAATCTGCACTGGTCCGCTAAAATTATAAATATGTAGATACATGTATGAACGATTCACCTGACTGCAATAAAACGAAAATTTAAACCAATAAGAAATCGTTTCATTTCTTTGATTTTTTTGTAAAGAAATAACACTAAAGTAATTGTATTTTATTTTGGGGTGTATAGAGCTTAGACTTGAATGCATCAAAATATTTAAAGCAACAAGTCATCTACAATAAGTGAAAATAGACCGAATAGTAGAAGAATACAGTTGTAAATTAGAATGCATCAACATTGCATCGCCCAACAGTCGTATACCTCGTAAGAGTAGGTAATATTGTTCTGTGGTCTATACCTAGAACCGAGAATTATCTATACCTATGTATCTACCGTTAAGCGTTGAGCCCGTGACTGTTGATTTCTGTTAAAAACGAACAGTTGTTGAATGATATTTTGATATAATAACGGTAATTTAATTTATCGAGTGAAAGTGATACATTTTTATAGAATAAATTATTGGTCAGATAATATTTGTCAATCAAGAATCGCTGATAATACATCCTTTGCTAGAACGCGGGAGGGGAGGGGCGAAGGGATACTTCATTGTTTGCAATTTGCATCTAGTGCACTAAACTTGACCCTTAGGCAGATAATATACGTGTTGTAAAGTGCGTGTGCGCTTCCGCTTTCTATTTTTGCAAATATTTATCGTATTCTTGAGAGTTCTTCAATATGTGTGTACCTAATTACTAATAATAGGCATTAATGCTAATTCGATTCAATTTAAGTAATTGTCAATTCTTGTCTTAGGATATTAATTACTAATGCTAATATTGAAATTTCGTTCAAGGTGAACAAATTAAAAAGGATCATAACTTTTAGGTAGGTATATCACTTATTACTAATTTTACATAAATAATTTATTTTATTATAATTTAACTCACCGCGATTTTGTGATCAAATATTTTATTTTCTCCAACATTATTACAGAAATAATGCAATACAGAGTTTGTTCGCGATATGCTAGCCTAAGTCGATTCATCACTTAAAAAAATCCCCATCTATTCACAAAATACCTATTTACAACGCATACGTTACACTCTTCAAAACTTATCATTTCATTTCATTTCATATTTCTTAAATTACCTATGCCTACCCTAAAATTAAACTTCAATTAACAAATACTACGCAGGTACGAATTCTATGAACAACTATAAACAATTCACCTAAACATTACGAGAAAACAAAAGCATTCAAACAATACCTAATCTCCCGGCTGATTACTAATTATGCAATAAACAATCCTAAATAAAAAATATTTAAAAAACATTTAGTTTTTTGTAACACTTATGTACATATCCGTAGTAAACTTGCAAATAATATCCTACATATTTTAAAAGACAGCGCAATGTACTGGGTGATCGCTTTTTAGTAACCACCTAAACATGGTCGGGTTACCACGGTCTTGCACCTTCTAATGACTTTTATTTAATTATCTCGTAAATTATTATATGTACTACGCTGAAATTTTACAGGTAGACAACTGAACTAAACAACTAATTATTGGCATAACATTCAGTTTATATATCCACACACAGGTTTATCGGTGGCCAAAAAAGGCCGCACACATTGTGATCGTGACCGTGGAGAGCTACATTTCATCATAACTTTTTAGTCACTAACAGTATCCTTACGAAAATTCGTATACATTTGAAGGTAGTTACAAGCAATAGAATAACGTTTCAAGTAAGTCTTTAGAGGTCTTATTTAAAGTGTTAGGACGTATTGAAGTGTTTTCATACTTACCTAAATAATTTTTAAACGGTCCATTATTTTTGTTATTTTATTGTCGAACAAATTAAAACTAATCCTTAAGAAGTTATGTACAAAAGATGGTTACAATCCGCTTACCCGTTTCAGAGATCCAGCAAACCCACAAACGTTACTCCAGCAGGATTTCGAATAACTTCGCAGCCGAAGAAAATACAAATACCAAATAAGTTGTAACATTTACCTAGTCCAGATAACTAATTATTTAGCTAAAATTTATTTCAATATTACAATTAAAAAAGAAAATGTCTGGCTGCGGTAACGTTTCAAACGTTACTCCAGCAGGAAATGTTTTTTTGAAATAACTAAAAAAGTTTAAGTGAAACAAATTTAAAAATGTGCTTAACAATTACAGAAGGGGAGCAACTAATTATCTATATAGTTTAAATGACTATTTTCGACATTATTTTGCTGGGGTAACGCACACGTAACGATTCATATGCATTGCTCTTTTTTGCTCTAGTGTATTAATGGCTCTCTTTCTCCTTTGTGCATTTTATCTTTCCTCTTTTTCGTATAAGAAACTGCACCTAAAAGTCGCACTTCAAAAATATCAACGATCCGATTTAGTTTTGTTTTTTTCCTGAATTGGGATTCTCCTCCCTCTAGGGGGATCACCAGGATCTTAGGAATTGCCTTTGCGCCGCTACAAATTCTTCATGTCTACTAGGCCGAATGTTCCTTAAAGGTATTGGGATTAAAATATGTTGACCTGAAGCCTTGTATGCACTACGCGTTACAATGTACGCGCAATATAGGTAACATACGTTGAATAACTACGCGTACAGACACCTTATGCATTGCGGGATACAAACAAGTTCGGCCAGTCAATTCATTGTGCAATATATGCAATATATATTATAAAAAAAAAAAAAAACGGAAACCCCGTTGGTGGATGAAAAAATTGTGGAAAAAGATTAGAATATGGAAATAGCCTTATGCATGATATGAATTGGGGAAAAAAGTGGGCCAGTGAAAAATTTGCAACCAAAAGCGTACTGGCACGTGTTCCTGCGGGTAAGTGTTCCTGTGTACGTGGAACCGATTACGTATACATTGGAACGCTTAGTTAGCTTAAGGCTTAAGAATACGTTACAATAAAAGAACATAATTAGGTATGCCAATATCTTTATTAGTGCATCATTGATTATTACATACATAAATTAATATCTCGTTATTAGACAAATAAATAATTTGTTCCCATTTTATTTCATACAATGTAAATTTATAAAGGTCTAACCTTGGGTAGAACTGCAGAACATTATTGCTTCGGTAGCCGATTACAACATCTGAAATGTTCGTGAAGAACTGTCCTAAATACATGAAACATTATAAGTGTAGGTAACTATTATCGTTAGAGTATTAACCTATTTTTAAATATTAGCATTGTGATATATTGAAGTTTTACTAGTAAATACGATTTAAATTAATAAAATGCAAGAAAATCTCTCACTATGAAAAAATGTGATTATATTTTTTTCTAACTTTATATTCATAAACATCGTTTCTTTTATTACATATTTTAATATATTATACACTTTTACAGTTACCAAGTCAACAACTTTAGCTATTTTTACAGCTTACAGATTATTGTAAAAAACGGCACAAAAATTTTGTAAAAAAAAAATATTTTGTTTAAAAACTACTATTTCATTTCACGTTTAAAACATATAATTTTAAATGTATACTTCAAAGTATAAAATCAACATTGTATGGAGTCCAACCGTCCATACAATGAAACCGTTATAACCAAATAAAAGTTGTTTCATCCAACTATTCTTATCAAATCATCTTGATTAATGTTAGAAATGCAAGTGTGTTTGGTTCTTACTCTTTCTCGCCTTAACTACTCAACTGATCATGGTGAAATTTTGCATACTGACTTGATTTTTTTCCCAAAATAAGTATTGATCCCAAACGATATTTTAAATGGGCTGACAAAATATACATTTAATACATCTGTCAACCCCCGCAAAGTCACAGGCAATAGGAAGGAGTGTGTTGGGGTTCTATTATCAATACCGAACCCTAGTTTATTCGTAGTTTGTCAGTGTTCGGGAACACTACTCTGGAATAATGATAACGAGTCATTTTCTGAGCTATAGCAGAGTAGTTAGTAGTCAGATTTATAGTAGTAGATATATTCGTAAGTATTAGTGTAAACTTTAGTATCTTAACATTAGTACTTAGTCGATTGCGTTATAAATTACGTTATTAATCGATATAACAGAACCATAAGGTAGGCTCGACGCTAGCTTATATTTGTTGAAAATTTAAAAAATATAGTCAAGAAGACAGACTGGTTGTCTTATGCATCATATAATAATCCGGTTTAATGTAGACGAAGCTATAAGCTCCACTAATAACAGCTGAGCCACCATATTTAAAAGCCCTTATCAGATAATTTGATTTTTTAAACTAACAAAAAGTATGAAATTGCCTTTACTTCTACAAAAGATGAATTGTGTTAAAAATAATAAAATACAGTCCTAGCTTTGTTTCATAATATCTCTTAACTGGCTATCTTATTTTTTCACAAAATTGATCCTACAATTGATAACAATAGAAAACAGTTAACACATTTTTTGTGATGGCAACTCAGCCATTTGGGTTGTCAACTTCGAGTAGCCTCTATAAAATTAGTTTCTACTCAGTTCCTCTGTTACTATATCCATATAGTATGATGTGAACACCGCTTTGTTGTGCATGACGTACCGTAGCAACGTTCCCGAGATTGACGTCAATTCCCGCGCTAAGGCCGAGAGACCGACCGGGATTTGTCTTGAGCCGCCTCCGCAAACGAGAATAGTTTTTAAAAACTCAAGCACTCGTTGACCTATTAATAAACATAAGAATTATTTTTACTTTTTACTGAAAAAATATGATTTTTAACATTATCTAAAAGATTACACTCAAAAGGCAGTAACGTATTACGCCTCTTGCACTGCAAGTATACAAAAAAAAAACAATAGCCTGGTCACATCCTGTTCTTTTAACCCTCTATACGGTAAACAAAATTACTTCCAGGACAATCTGTAGGATCCTGTCTAACTCGCTGTAACATTTTATAATCCAAAATAAAAGAAATTAAACTCACGGACTATCTCTCGCACTCTATGGTCAGGGTCCCCAAGGGAAGTGATTTGTGTCCTGATAAGGTCCTTCGTCTCCCCAACTAACGGTGGTTGATTTAGATTTTCGAGAAGTTGTTCTGTTACCAAGATTACTTCTTCTGCTACTGACGGCAGAACAGATTTCAGTTCTCTGAAAAAAAAATTGCATATTCAGTAGTGGTATCAAAATTCATATTGTAGTTCGGCAAATGCGGCTTTCAACACACAATGAAGGAAAATCCAAAATAAAATAGCTGGTACAAGGAGAACAAAGATCCAACATAAAATAGCTGGTACAAGAAGAACAAAGATACAAAATAATAAAAAGCGGTTGTTGTCAGACTCATTTTTGGTTAATTTATTATTAAAAAAATAAAAAGCTATACCAAAGCGAAGTAACTACTCAATGGCATATCTATTTATATACCAGTAAAAGCGATAATTAATCACGGTTTATCATCATCATTCTAACAACATTCGAATAAAAGCTTCGCCTATATATAAAGAGCCTTTTATGTTGATACGAAGCGACCTCCTTTTTTTTTTTTTTTTTTATTTTTTTTTTTCCGTGCGGAAGTCCCCTCGGATACCACCTGTCGGTGGCATGTCGGACTCGAACCGACTAAAACCGCACGCCGTCTCGGTACTAATAGCCGGGGAACCAGGTATACCCTAGAAAGGAAGTCCCTGGTACCCCGACATACCTCGGGTCATCTACAGACGAGTAGATGACCCCCCCCGTGTGGGAACCCCATGTTCCCTGTGCTCCCTGGAAGCGAGCGCGCTACGCAACGCGCTCGCCGCCACCCCGGCCTGCTTCTGCTAGGGTGACAGATGGCCTCACCTGTCACCCCCAGGCCTGCGCTTATGGAGGACGGAGGTCGTTCTGCGACCTCCGGCGCCTGAGTCGCCTGCGGTACCTGGCCCGTTCCCGGGCCTGGCGGGCCGGGAGAGTCCTAAACCTCTCCCGGTCCCGCTCCGCCGTCTCCTTCCCGAGCATAACTTGCTCGCAGAAGGAGACGGCAGAGTTCCACGCCCTCTCGCTCCGCACGATAGCCGCAATCAGGCTATCGAGCGAGAGAACTCCTACTCCGATGGCCGCCACGAGGTCTCGCCGCTGCTCAACCCACGCCGGGCACTCTGCCAGCGTGTGGAGAGCCGTGTCCACGGTCTGGCCATCGCAGTGGTGGCACTCAGGCGTTGGCTCCTTGCGGATCAGACACAGGTGATCCCCGAAACATCCTTTCCCAGTGATCACCTGCGTCAGTCGGTATGAGAGGGTCCCGTGACGCCTCTCGAGCCAATCCTCCATAACGGGTCTTACCGCCGCGATGACGGCGTGCCCGGTGCTCGGTTGCCCGAGTCGTTCCTTCCACTCCCCTATGATGACCTGGCGGAGTTGGGATTTCCGGTCATCGATTTCTCGAGTCTCGGGACACCGACCCAACTCCCGCGCCTCCTTGCGCCACTTTTACAGAGCCGCAAGGTCTCTCGCCTCCAGGTCCCACGGTGGAGTTCCGGCCAGGAGACTCGCCGCCTCAAAGGAGATCGTGCGGTACCCCCTTATGATCCTGATGGCCAGCACTCGCTGCGGTCGTCGCAGTATCGCGACGTTGCTGCCCTTCAGGGCCCCCGCCCATACTGGGCACCCGTAAAGGGCCATGGACCGCACAACCCCCGAGTAGAGTCTCCTGCAGGAGTCATCGGGTCCCTTCATGTTGGGCAGCAGCCGCGCCAACGCACGCGCTGCCCCAACCAACTTGGGGACCAGACCTCGGAAATGATATCCGAAGTCCCATCGGCCATCGAGTACGAGCCCCAGATACCTGATCGAGGGCTCGATGCCGATGCGAGTGCCTCCTACCGTGAGGCTAGATCCCTCAGGCGGCTTCCTCCGAAGCCCGTGGAAGAACAGGGCCTCGGACTTGTGCAGAGCCACCTCGAGACCCAGCCGCCGGACGAAGCGACCTCCTGCGTCTGTGTAACATACTGATGAAGCCTTAGAGTAAATAATCAATTCGCGATATAAAAATACAATTTTTGTGAATACTAGCCCGAGTCTTCGCTTGCTTGAAAGCGATATTATTTTATAGCCCTTAAAACCACTTTTTTTTTTTCTGAATATTATTATAATCGTAGGAATAGCTATTCGAACCAGCAAATTTTACTCATTAGTTCCATGACGTTCTAGTTACGTAGCTTGTCGTGTTATTGTATTATAAAAATCCTTTTCCTTGTTTTCTTTTGCTAAAAAAAGAATATTTTCAGAAGAATAGTTAATTCTAAAATTCACATCCATAGCAGCAAGACTGCCGACTTTTCACACAAAATACTTGCTGCCCACCTCCTTTGAGTAGCGTAATAAAATGTACCCTATATGCTACACAGGACTACGATTAACTTAAATCCAAAGCTTCATTTAAGTTCGTCTAGCGGTTTTTACGTGAATCACACAGACAGACAGACAGACAAGAATTTAAAAAAAAAAAAAAAAACACATTTCGGAATCTATTATATCTATGAAGATGCTATTTTTTTTATTTACAAATAAATACATGTATATGTATGTATCTATCTAATATCACCTTTCTTACAGTTTTATTATATGTGTAGATAGTCATTTGTTTTTCTAACGCTCAGTACTTTGCCCAGACTTTATTTTGTTATTCTGAATAAAAAGTTTGAAAATAAAATAATTTTAATTTATTTAATGTGAGCTGTAAAAGTGGTATAAAGTTATATAGAACAAATCTATACTAATATTATAAAGCTGAAGAGTTTGTTTGTTTGTTTGTTTGTTTGAACGCGCTAATCTCAGGAAGTACTGGTTCGATTTGAAAAATTCTTTCAGTGTTAGATAGCCCATTTATCGAGGAAGGCTATAGGCTATATATCATCACGCTAAGACCAATAGGAGCGGAGCACCAATGAAGAATGTTTCAAAAACGGAGAAAATTTATTACTATTGAGAGACGCAGACGAAGTTGCGCGGGTCAGCTAGTGGTATATAAATCGCATTTTTAAAGTTACATCAGTACCATGTGGAACTGGCTATATGGAACAACTGGGCAGAAACCTTAAAATCATGTTTTATTCTAGAAACAACACTCATATGGAAAATTTGAAGAATAGCTAAGAGAGAGAGTAAGAGCGCAACAAACTCATTTTTGCATTAAAAATGTTAGGATTGGAGTATTTTCATTATAAGTGTGTAATAAAAATACTCCAATCACCATTCCACTAGCTTTTGCCCGCGGTTTCACTAGGTAATGTTAATTTTGTCAACCAATTTTTCTAGGATAAAGGTATACTATGCGCTTTTCTAGACTATTGTGGTCCGAATTTGATCTAGATTCATTTAGCCAGTAAGACGCGAGTAACAAACATCCATCTAAACTTTCCCATTTATGGTGGTAGTCAGACTAAAGTTATTTATTTACATACTTACATGTCATTGGTAGTATTGTCAATAATGATCAATATCTTCTCCTTTAGCGTCTGTTTGTGCTGCGCGGCTGTGGTAGCGTCGCTTGCGCACGATGGGCTTGCCAACATAAGGGATGCTGTTATTATAAGACGGTACACTTGAGTACCTAGCTCTGCGAAACGGGGAGCGTCGAGAGCCACCGTCTGTAATGAGATGCGTTGGCAATGTTCAAATTGTATTAAAACTATATACCTAGAGATACATTTCAGGGTCTTTTGAACGTCGCTGTCACACATATGTGACAAACGTTTATTTTGGTTATATTAGTTCACAAAGCGTTGTGGTGCATCCAATTTATGACACATATATTTGACAATGTCGTTTAAGGGTTAGTAAATAACGGGTCCGTGTGGTGACGGATTAAGAATACAGAGTGTCACCACCCCTAATCATACCGTGGGTGTCATAAGAGCCAACTAAGGGAAAAAACTAAGCAGGACAACAGCACTGCAGAGAGAAGGAAAACTTGACACAAACCCTTTACCAACCCGTCTGGCCAGCGTGGTATAGTAGGCCAAAACCTCCTTTCTCAGGAGAGGCTTCCAGCAGTGGACTATTAAAGGCTGTTGATGATGATGATGAAATAAAACAAACATATCCTAGCGTTTACCACTGGCGCTTACATTCGGTTTCTTAGGTTTTTATATTAAAAAACAGGTTAAAAGTATCAAAAACTTGTTTTCTTCTCTACAAGCATACGAAGTCGGGTTGGGCAGCTAGTAGAAAATAAAATTTATTATAGACCATACAACACATACTTTTTTAAGACAATTCCCACCACAAACTTACACTAGGAATATATCCTGTGTCGCGGGGGTCTTTACAAGCATTAATGTAACGGGCACAAAGAACACGCAGACTCAGAATAACAATTTGTAGATCACAAAAACTGTTGGTCCCATATGGTGATCGAACCCAAAATACACAGCGCAGTGGTACGCGCGAAGTCACCGCTTAAACCACTTCGCCATTCGTGCAGCTATGAATTCGCTTTGAATAGTATCTTAAGGCTATGCTTATCGATTAGACTTACCTCAGGGTAATTTTTAGCACCAGTCCACTCTAACAGCTCCAAATACGCTTTGGCAAGTGTTTGTGCAGTAACATTTCTGATGATTATCTTGTCTGTAACAGGGATACTGAGTCCTTCCTTCTCTATGTTACGTTGCAGCCATTCTCGGGTGTATTTTAGGCCATCTGTAGAACATGAATAAGAATAAAGTTTTGCCCGCCGCTGTGCTTAATAGTAATTTTATCCCTTAGGCGCAGTACTTTTTTTTTGATGTAAAGTTCTGTGTGTATTACTTTATTATATCTTTATATATATAATTCTTCTGTGAGTGTGTATGTCACTGAACTTCTCTCAAACGACTGGACCGATTTTGATGAAATTTTTTGTGTGTGTTCAAGGGGATCTGGGAATGGTTTAGATACACAATTTTGTCCGCTGGACAATGTTTTTTTAATTAATTTTTAATTTATTAGTAGTTGTTGATTTTGGAATGTTTTACATTGGATCAGACAGACGGCGCTACCATCGCAGTGTCAAATTTGACAGGATAACGTCTGTCGGGTCCGCTAGTATAACATAAATAAGTTTGAATTACATATTTAATTTTGAAGTGAAATTTCTTTAGATTCGTTGTGATTTGAAACTCGATGAAACGAAACTGCGTCACGATAAAGAAACAAACACATAAATGTACCTATAGGATTAAGTCGGCGAGAGAATTAGACATAATACATTACACATTATTTGAAGTGTGAATATTTTTATTTAATACTAGCTGGTACCCGCGACTTCGTTCGCGTGGAATTTGAAAGACGCTGCCTTAGTGGGTTCGATTGGGAAAAAATTGCCTAAGTTACTTCTTTAATAGACAAATATTTTTTTCGGGAGTTTTACTTCGCCTGTGTGTGAATTGCACACACACACACATATATATATATATATATATATATAGGGTAGGTATACAGGGTTAGCTGGAGGTGGCCGTATCCGTTACAAATCAAAATATTCAGCATATTCCTTGTTCGTATAAGTCGTTATCTTCAACAGTATTAAAAGCACAAAGCAAAGTCCAGTTAGCAATCGTTTTTAGTTTTTAGAAATCTGATATTATGTACATATTCTTTAACACATCTGCAACTTAACCGTCATATATATTTTGTTAAATATTGCTCAAAGAATAAAATATGTTTTACAAATTTATTTCTCTTTTGCTATCATCAACTAGCTAATACGGTTCTACAATTTTGGTGATGATAATTATAAAACAATGTATCAACGGCACGAAACAGAAAAATTGAGGATATTAGTTATGAAAAAAAGTGTATTTGGAAAAATTTCGGCAATCTGTATAAAAATCATAAAAGTCAAGGCAAATGGTTGGAATTGGGATATGGTATTTCATAGGGAAAGCTATTCATAATAATGGCAACTACAATTCCCTAAAGTATCTAGGTCGACTTAACTTTTATCCCCCTTTTTTTTGTCTGTGCGAAAATGACTACGGATACCACCCATCGGTGTATATTTTACCCTGTATATTTTATGATCGTGATGTGAAAAAAGTGACCTTTCTAATACAAACCTTCAGTCACTTTAAGCAGCTCTTCAAACTTGGCTCTCTCATAGTGCACACTCTCTTGTTGTACGTGAGGCCTCATCATTGCAATCAGGGTGTTGGCAAGATCCAACTTTAGCACCTCCAAAGCTTCTAGAATCGCGCGGAATATGTCTACCTGCAAGTGTAGACAGAATATTACTTCTCTCTCTCTCTCTACTTACTCTCTAATTATACCAAACTCACATTTTAAAAGTAAATATTTTGAAAATAGGAAAGTATGACGTCACAAGTTGTTTTTCATACATTCCAGACATTTAATAAAGAGTTAGAGAGTAACAGATTGAACATCATAGTCAAATACCGTAGAGTATTGGATTATATATTTGTATTTGGAACTTGATTTCTTTGTTGGATTTTAAATAGTAAAATATTAGATCAAGAATATCAATTTTTAAATTGAAGAACATACCGTATCGGTAAGTTTGGTAATATTCTGAATCATTTCGTCCCTCACAGGCGCGGCTAGCTTGGCCATCAAATCGATCACAAAGCTGGCATACTTGTGGAAGTCGAGACTGTTGTTTTCAGCTTGTTGTTTGATGAACTCACCGTCTAAAACTTCTTCTATCATCTCTCGGATGCGAGTGTGCCGTGGAAGCAGTATTGAGAACAGTCCCTACAAAATACGAAAACATCATCTATCTAAGATAATAATAACTCTACAAATCTTACACATGGCAGTCTGATCCCAAACTAGGCAGAGCCTGTAGTATCGTAACCAGACTGCTGATAAACATACTTAAATATTTGTAAAGACATATATTTTATAGATGAGCTAGAAACCCCGATACAGAACAAATGATCATGCTCATCCCACAATTATTTGTCCTGGATAGGATACAAACCCCAGGAACACTGGCTTAGTCGTCAGGGTCGCTAGACCAACAAGCCAGTCAAAGTGGTGGTGATGATAAAATTGCGTCATGTTACATAGACCATAAAGTGCATTTTGGCTCGAAATTAGAAACAGTACTGATACTATAAAATTGTCAATATAGCCAAGGTCAGAACTAAGGAACAACAGGATGCAAATGAATCTGCACTTTATCACGAAGGGGCTTAAATTGTTTTATTTTTGTGCCTTTCTCTTAAGGAAGATTAATAAGTCTGTTACGTCGAAAATTCCTTTAACATGTAAGAATACTATTAAAAATATTACAACCAACTTTGAATTGGATATTTGCCAAATTAATTACATGAAGTGTTATTACATTATTACAAAACATTCGTCACACTGTACGAGATTCAGTCACATTTACGTGTTACTTTTACTACAATGTTTATTCTTGATTGTGTAACGTTTTTGGATGCCTTCAAGAAAATATAATTATTAGATAAATTAGAACCGGCACTAATACTCCGCGTTATCTAACTTTTAAAGAATCTCGTTGACGGGTTTTGCAACAAAGATTAAAGTATAGTGAAAGTAGAAGCGTGCAGCGTGTTGTAAGAAGACGTTATATGCCTACTCTACCACGCTGGCCAGACGGGTTGGTATAGGGTTTGTATCAAGTATTTCCTCTCTTTGCAGTGCTGTTGTTCTGCGTGGTTTGCTCACTTAGTCGACTCTTACGACATGGATGATCTTTACGGATGAATAGGGGCAGTGACACTCCGTATTCTTAATCCCTCACTACAGGTTGGCTAGATAGAAACATCTTCGGTGAAGAAATGACCAAAAGAGTACTGAGAACCTAGTGTGAGTTAATTTCACTTCAACTCGATAGTCACGGTGACTGATTTCGACGTTGCGATAGATTAAGATATCATTACGGGCTGAAACCAGTATCATTTAATCAGTTTAACTTAACTTAATCAGTTAAAAAGGAAGAAGTCCCTCAGTATTACACAACAAAGATCTTCGATCAGTGTGCTAACCTATGATGCCGAAACGTAGACGTCTACTATAGTACTTGTGCGCAAATTTAAAGCGCAGCGGGCTATATTAAATTCGAGCTTGGAATTTATATACATTTTTTACCTGTTTAACATCTTCTAAGAGTATAAGAGCCTGCTTGTACTCAGGTGGGTCAGAGTTAAGTTGCTCTCTTAGTATGTCGAAGTATGCTTTGTGCATTGTTTCTTTCACTAGCTTTTGATAACTGAAATAATAGAATTACAGTAAAAAGAAGAAACCTAATATCCTTGACAGTATTAAACTCTGTATGGAGTTAACCAGAAAACTGTATAATCAAATAATGTAAAAAGTTTTAAAATCTCAAATACGGAGATTTTAAAACTCAGTTGGAAAAGTTCACACATTAAATAAATATTAATTTATAGATCCCATTGTTTTACTCCAGTTTTAATATTAACAGTATAAGGTCTCCTGATTAACAACAATCTTGTAAAGTCTGTTAACAGCCTACCTGTTATCTGGTGGTTCAAAAGGTTCTAATTTGAAGTCCTGATCAACTGCAATCTCATGCGCTAAAGCCATATTCTGCATACCATGAGCTGCTTTCATGATGTCCTCCAAAGTCACGAATTTAGGAGGTGAAGCACCTGTGATGGTTGAACCTCGAACTCTGAACTGTATCGGCTCACTGGCATAGTAACTGTGTTAACAAAAATACCTGGTTTATAATTTGTTTAGTTAACATGTGCTTCTCTATAATTTAGAGATTATGAGGTTAGATAGGGAGATCGATAGCATTTCTCTGCCATGTTAAGAATATATATAAATAAATGGATATACACCAGTTAATGATCTAACTGCTGTAATTATTTTTTCTTTAAAGTAAGACAACTTTTAAACTAGGAATATATTGTGTTGAGACTTAACAAACATTTATGAAACAGACACAAAGAACACCCAAACTCAGAACAACGATTTGTGAATCATATTTAGTCAAACCTTTGTGGGACAATGGCCCATGGTGGGATTAACCCCACAACATTCAGTACAATAGGAAGCAGTGGGGTGATTGCTTAAACCACTACACCAAAAGTCTTGTATTGTACAAGTTGTATAAAATTTTATATGGTAACAAAAAATGAAAATTTTGTGATTTTGTTTGTTTCTGATACCTTAATTTTTTAAACTAAATCATGAAATTTCACTATTATTAAAAGAATGAGTACAGAATAACATCATGCAATTTAATTTTGTGTTTACAATATTAGATGGTATATTATAGTACTACGCAATTACAGATAATGTACTAAGACACACACAAATATTGTTTTAAAAAAATATTAAAATTATGGTATTTAACTTACAAAAGATGCAATAATTTTTAACATATATTTAAAAACACACAATGACCTTGAGTTTAGCAGACCAGTCATCATTTAGGTACTTAGGTATATAAAACAATAACAAATGAACTCATACTGCTATTATTGATTATGATTAATGACATGAGTCATGTAGACAAATAAAATTTTGTTCTCATTATTTAATAAGAAGCTTATAATTTTAATAAGAACTAATAAGACATTTTCAGTGGTCTCTTGGTGTGGTGGTTCCTGACTATTGAATCTAAGGTCAAGGGTTTGATTCCCACCCAGTACAAATAATTGTGTAATCCATCTATACATTTAGGTATTTATAAAATATAACTATGTTTATTGGTCTTGTCTTCACAGGCTCTGCTTCATTTGGGACCAGGCAGTCGTGTGAGCGATGTGTCGAAAAAAAAAAACATATAATTTATATTGACAACTTTATACAACATTTTTCTTTTTGACAATACCAATAGGAACCAATAGGAACACAAAGGATGATTACAGGTCACAAAAAAAAGTGTGTTTTGTCTATATGTAACACACACAAACCTTGATCCAGTAGGCATAGGTTGAGAAGGGGTCCTAGTACTATTGTTTCCTTTGTCCGATCCTTGCGACCCGGAACTACTTGGTGTCTCGCGTTCACTCATTATAAAAACTTCACACAAACTGACTCAGATAAAAGCAGGTAACCTCTTCACCCCTTATAAGGCCAACGTTAAAAGCACAACATGAAAACAGTCAAATCATCGGGCGTAATCACCTGAGATCACAACAAAACATAACCTAATTTTTTATCCTTAATATAATATGGTAAATAATTTGAGACGCGAAAAGTAGGCACAATTGTTGCGTGTTATTTATTTATATTAATATAGTTTTACTTAATGTTAACACTGTTACGATGTTTACATTTATTTTAAACGAAATCTCACAGATGTTTCCATTCACTTGTCAATTTTGTCGGATGTCAAAAAATGAGTGTTAACACATTTTAGAGCACGTTTGTAACATACGACAAAGACAAACGAAGGATCTGCTCCTTTTTTATGCGTTTAAAATTAAATGTAAAAAATATAAATCACAACTTGTGTTGTGTTGTATAATAAATGCATTTTATATCCGTTCTTTACCTGTAACTTTAATTTATTTACGTAAAATTTGAATATTGTATGTTACGCGCATATCAACCTAATTCACCCTATTCTTATTAGTATTATTACTTCTATTATTTTATATATAATTTTTAAGTTTTTATTATAACGACGTATATGTTCTTCATTGTTATATCCTTCTGTCGGGTTTGACATCGAGAAAGATATAGAGATTTTGAACACTTGATTATGATGTAAAAAACGCAATAATTTCCATCACCATTACATACATAGTTAATTACGATTAATATAACACCCAGATGATGTGTAATGTGTGATGAGATGTGTTCCGTAATTACGTTGCACAATAAACGGAGCACAGGGTTGCTAGCTAACTACGTTTTTTTTGTTGTTGGTGTGGATAATCAAGTCGGCTCTCCGGCTCCTTGGGGATCTATGAGCCAGGAGTATTTGGTGTTTCCACTAGAAACCACCCCGACGGACGGACTTAGGTGCCCTACTCTGAGGATTACCCGGCCTCGACATCGGCCCAATCCTTAAATCGCATATTTACGACCACACCATCCTATCGCCCACTGCAGCAGTCAATCCGCCACAGTGGTCACTCTCTGGCAGCCTGCTTTGACGGATCCCTAAAGCTATCCCCGCCGACGTCCTCTACGCTCGATATCGTCCCTCTTACAATCCCGTTCAGCGGTCTCTTTCTGGAGCATTACAGCTTCATAGAAAGAGACCACTGCACCCCAGCTCTCCTTACCTGCCAGCATGGCAGCAATGATTGCTAGCGGGGACAGGTCTCACGCAGGGCAGTCTTCCGTGTGCTGGGCGGAGTCCCAGTCGGCTGCGCAGTGCTGGCATTGCAGTGCTGGCATTGGTATCTGGTATTGGCGTTTACAAATTATAGTGTTGACGTTAAGCTTTGATCTTAACCAGAATCTTGGCATCTTGCGGACAGTTCCTTAAGAATTGAAAATGCAGTAAGGTAGTCCGTTTACAACGGACATTGTATTACTAAATGTTTCGGGTAAGTTTATCGAGATGACTTTCTTTGCTTATCCCTTATCCTCCTGTGTTAAGTGTGTGGTTTAGTTGTGTTCTTGGATTTAACCTTCCGACCGCCTAATGACCACTACTACACAGTAGTTACTGAGTTTTGTAAGAGGTCATCCACTAATTACATAATTTAAGAGATCACAATAAGTATAGCTCTTTGAAAAGGTAACTATGCCTATAAATTATTTTTTTTTATGATATGTGAATTATATATGAGATATGCTGTATTTAACAGCATAAAACATTTTTGAAGTATCAAGTACTAAATAAGGCTTATATGTAATAATAGGCCTTACTTGTGACCCTGGGCCTTAAGAGGAGTTTGTTGAATTTTAGCTTGATTTTGATAATTTACAGATTGTTTATCTGATTATGCCTCCTCCAAGACCAAAGTGTGGTACGTGGTCGGAAGAAAGCTTGAAAGCGGCAGTTAATGATGATCCCATTATGTTTCAGGCTTTATTTAGTTACCTTGTTTAAACAAGGCCTATCAAAAGTTTATTGAATTTTTAAACATTCTCTAATATTTTTGTATTAACTTTTAAAAAGATGTGTTAATTTGCTAATTTTATTTTGTATACATATTATTTGTACAATTCTTCATTTCTTGTTAATATGGGACTTCAAGTCAGACAAGCAATTCATGCGAAATCTTTAGAACAATAACTAAGAAAGTTATGCAAGAATCTCGTTTAAACACTTGATAAATAGCTCAGAAATACTTACTTTTATATAATCAATACTCTAATAACAACATTATTATAGTTTCAGTTAATAGGCTTTATTGAGTCACTATGTAAGTATTTAATAGACCAAAGACTAAGGTTCCAGTGTTGAATCTGTTTAGGTGATTTTTAATAAAATTAATAATATTTTTTCTTAATTATTTAAAATTTATAAACCAAAGAATAATACCTTGCTTTTATTTATCACCTTCTGCAAATATTTATCAAGATATGAGTGTTTGATAGAAGGTAGGCCTTATTTGTACAAGAACGTGACTAAAAATGTAAGTAATTATGGAGCAGAGCAGATGTGACAATAACAAAATCTAGGTAGTTCATGTATTGCAAATGACTTAGTCACAGGCTTAATCACATTTGTAATATAGACCGCTGTCGGTAAATGCCGATTGTGGTGGCCATGTAACAGACCGTGACCAACTGCATATCGATGTTAATTAAATTAAGCTAAAAGCGATAGTGGAAAGATTTTAATGTTTCCTTATTCACAATCACACTAGCTCCATGTTAGAATAATATTGAATTCTTATTATTCAGTTATTATTCTACCACATTCACATAACGGCATCTAGTCCAAAACTGCAGAGATTGTACTATGGGACTAGACAACTGATATAAATACATATTTATATTTTATTGTAAAAACATACATATTATTCATAGAAATACCCAGACCAAATCAAACATTTAATGTTTGTTTGATTTGGTCTGGGCCCGGGCAAGCAAATCTTTGACTTGAGCGGGAGTTAAATCCGCGAAATTTCGCGTAGCAATCTGTTACACAAACCACTACGCCATCCTGCCGTCAAATAAAAGAGACTGATTGAATGTATTTAATTAACTATTTACAAATAAAAAATAAAATTAGAATGTACTTCGTTAAAAATAATCATAAACCTTTGTTAAACAGTGACAATCTTCTGTTCACCCCTACGGGGCTAAAGAGGTGACTTCTGTCAAAAACAATGAAGTTCAAATTGCTAATAGGAAAAATTATTTTATATTTTAATGATTTAGTGGCATTAACTTGCTCAAGGGGGACGCTGCGATACCTACTATAAAAATGAAACAACTTTCTATAAAGCAGTAATGTATTTACCTTTCCTCTCATACAGAAAATAATAAAAGCAAGAGGCATAATATACTTCATATTAAAAGGAAGCCTGTTAGGCAGATTACGGTGCTGCCATTCTTGAATTCGCCTTTCGCCATTCTTAAAATCTACAGAAAACCATGAGGAAGACATTGACTGCGAGGTATGTATATGTCGGATAAAAGGGCCCTGTGGTCTTTAAAAACCGGCCATGTGCGAGTCGGTTCCGTACCATTATCTATAAAAACGCCAATAACATCACTTTTGCTATATGGGAGCCCCCTTAAATATTTGTTTTATTTTAATTTAATTATTTATTTTTAAAGTGAATATATAACTAAATATTCTTTGAATATTTCAAGCGTTTACCTGTTGCCATTGTTAATATCGAGCAAAAAAGAGAAAAGAAAACTCGTTGGTTGTATGGGAGCCCTCTTAAATATTTATTTTATTCTGTTTTTTGTATTTGTTTTTATAGCGGCAACGAAAATACATGATCTGTGACAATTTCAACTGTCTAACTTTTACGGTTCATGAGATATAGCCTGGTGACAGACGGACAGACAGACAGCGGAGTCTTAGTTATTACCCCGTTTTACCCTTTGGGTACGGAACCCTTAAAAAGGACTTTGACATCAGCATGGCATACGTCAGCAATGTCCGCCAGCCAAATCCGATCTAGAAAGGCACCGCACAACCGCATTTACAGGACTGTCGCGTGCACAGCCATATTATAGTTAGGCACAACGACGCCGACGCCTCATTTATCGTATCATAATATTTATTAAGGATATAATAAAATAGCATAAAAAAATATTTTTATTAGGACCATACTATATTTTTTACATAAAGTTGGGTAATAATTGGCAAGTTGGCAACACCAACAGAGTATGCGTTAGCAAGGAGGCAATTTAACTTGTTCAGACAGTACTAGCAACTAATTTACCTAGGCAAACGTAGTGCCGTCGGCGAGGAGGATTGCTTTTTCTCAACTATTTCATTTTAAACTTCAGAAAATTTGCCTTCATTCCTTTGCTTTAACTTCAAACGTTATAATAGGATTTATTTAGTTTACTGTGTACTCATAGAGCCTTAATCTAATTGTTCTTGACATCAAAAATTATTTCATTAGATTTTTTTTTAATTAGCCACTTCAATAGCATTTTCATCAGTTTCATAATTTAAAATTTCTGTTTACTGGCTGCTGCTGTGCAATATGTGAAAAAAAAGTTTTTAAATATGTTTACTGACCAAAACTATACCCACAGTTAAATAAGAAAGTTCTCTTTTTAATACATCTATGTTTATACTACTGAGAATGTAAAGAAACAAACAGATGTTACACACCTTTATATATGTGTTAATGTAGAATTTGTTAATTCATTGTTCATCAAGTTTTTTCTGCATACCAAAGTTTCACGATGATTAGTTTAGTATGTTTTGGCTTGTAAGCGTAACAGACAAACTCCCTTTACATTTTATATTTTAGTTAGGACACTTATTTTGATTCTATTACAAACTGATATACCTCTTTTTATAGATTTTTAGTATACATAAGTAATAACTAGTGTACTAACGACTCACTGAAACTAAAGTAACCGTTGCTAATACTTACACGTAGAACCAACCGTTTAGCATCCGTCTGT